ACCAATCTAGTAAAGTTACAGCAACAGAAGAGCGAGCCCTTTTTGAGTTATGGACAAAAAAGACAAACTAGATAGCTAAAAAACCATAGCTGTTTTCAAGTCGACCATAGGGGCTCGCTATAAAACAAGGTTAATTCGTGACTGCGCAAAACAACCGCTCATGCTTTACGAATCTTTAATTGATTGACGATGAGGACTGAAAAAAAAAAAAAACCGTATGTACTACTGAAACGACGCGGCATGACCAAAGAAACACAATTTTTGCAGCCAAATGCGTAATAGAGAATCTAAAACATAAGAAAGTCGAATAAAAAGTTAAAAATTCTGGCTAATGGAAGCTAGTGGAAGCAGCCTGTAAGCACAAGGCTTTAGGCGGCAGGTAACAGAAAAAAAAAAAAAAAAAAACAAAAAAAAAAACAAAAAAAAGAGAAATCAAGCAAAAAAGACATTATCTGAAGGTGCAAATACACATGGATCGGAAAGTCTGAGGCTCGGACTAAAGCGAATTATAAAGAACCTTGTAGAACACATACTATTAAATTGACGTGGGGAAAAACCAAAAAATTCTGGCGGTTATGACAAATGCCGAATAAATATGTGGACAGAAACCAAGACCTACCCTACCAAAAAAAAAAATAAAAGAAAAAAAAGAAAAAACAAGGAAAAAACCAGTTAAACAAATCTTTCTGTCCACGCAAATTGTAAGTTGCGAAAGAATACACCAAAAAAAGGGAGCCGGTGCAAAATAATCAAAGCTGATTCAACAATTAAAAGCGGGGAAAGGAGGTAATATTTGCCGGAGAATGCAATACGAGGGAATAAAAAACGACAAAACAACAAGAGAAAGGAAAAAAAAAAAAAAACCGGGTAAAAGAAGAGAGGAACCCACACTTTAGAAAACCAAAAACCGTACTATTTATCAATTTCAATGCGAGGCAAAAAGAGTTTATGGTTACAAAGGAAAAAAAGACAATAACTTGATGGCTCAAGGAAAAAAGTGTTGTGCTCAAACAAAAAACAAAACGGAATAAAGGTTGTGAGTAAGGAAAAATAGGAAGAAATTACAAAAAATATGAGTCATCATCCAAGAATAATCCTCAACATGAACGCCAGTAGAATATTGGGTGTCAAAGTTTGCAAGAAAATTAAAAATTGTTGAAAATGTAAGTATAAGAAAAGTGTGGAAGAAAAAAACGGGAACTCAATCACATCAAACAGGTATTACCAACCACCAAATAATGAGAATGCGACTGAGAAAAACGAAAAGACAACCTTTTCTGTGAACATAACAAAAAAAAAAATGCAAACCAAAGAAAGAAATAAACCACTTTGAAACGCAGTATGAAAACCAGCAAAAGAACTTCACTAATGAATATAAAATGTACAAACAGTATAACCAAATCACCAAGAATGCTCCATGAATGTCAAAAAACAGGATTCCAAGTAATTTAGAATACAACGAAAAATAAAGAAAAAGATTGAATACCCACCATGAAAAAACAAATGAAAAATGCCCCCTTGCACAAATTAACTGTCCACTGCAGAACGCTGGCTGTAGGTGAAATTGCCTCGCAAAGACATGCCAGAGACTTGAAAGACACATGCTACACATCTGACACTGTGGCAATACGCAGCGACTCCAAACCGAGAATCAGGAACTACAAAGCTAAATAAAACACTGAAGAAAAACAGAAGCCTACAGAAAAGCATGTTGATAACTGGTAACAGTAAACAGTTGCATTACATAGGACACCGAGGAGCTCAAGTGACCTCAAGATTCCAATTGATTCCGCATAAATTACCCAGAGAAGGATGTAATAGAATTGCCTTCTTTTTCCACTGCATTCAAATGGCTACCAAATGTTTAATTCGTGTGTATTACAATGGACGTCTTTGTAAAGGAACTCATGTTTCAATTTTTACATGCTTTAGGCAAGGTTCTAATGACAATCACCTAAAATGGCCATTCCGAGGAGAGATACGATCGGCATATGTGACCAGGCTGAAGACAAAAAACATTTTCAAAAAACTATTCTTTATAATAATGCATTTTCAGACATCTGTGCCAGAAGATTGGCCGCAACAGGAAGGGAAATATGGGAGTGGGGTCATTCGGATTTCATAGCTCACTCTGAACTGGATTACAATGCTGAAAAGAAAACTCAATACTTAAAAGATGGCACAATAATCGTTCGAGTTGTTAGGGTGAAATAACCTAGTTTGTATAATTGTAAGACATTGCCTTCTGCAGTTGTAGCTACTACTGAAGTGCAAACCAACTATTATATCCTTACTACTTTAATGAAAAGCACTAAAGTGCAAACCCTCGGCGAACTGCGCATGTGCGGTACCACTAATTGATGGGCTGGGCTTTTTATGCCTTTACTCGTGGTATCCCGCTAGTAGCTCGCGGAGAGTCAGACACGGGCTAGCTACAGTAGTAAATAGCATGCGGGAGTCGATACATACCCTTCGTTGTGACTTGTTGTGCCTTCAAGACACACAGAGCGAACGGACGCGGTCGGGGGTAAGCCTGTGCTAATTACATATTGGCTTGTTCACTTGTTTTCACGCCATAACTTTAAAACACAGTAGTTTTACGAAAATCGCCTTTTTTAAAATCAACCCAGTGTAACGCTGAACCCGATCATATCGCTATTGACCTGATTTCGTGCGCGCGGTGGCAGAAAACGTGGTAACAGACAGACTGACACACTTACGGGACTACTACCGTAACCCTCGCTGCGCATGCGCGCCGAGGGTTAACTACAGTTGGAGTATGGACATCTTCTATCTTGCTGCACATATCCCCAAATTTTGCTATCTCCCACGTAGTTCTGAAGCCATTGGTATCGCTTATAGCCCGCCTCGTGGCCAGAATAAGCGCCGACAGACACAGACGGACACACACACAGACCTAGTACTGCAACCCTCGCTGCGCATGCGTACTGAGGGTTAAAAATGCGGCTTTAACAGTGCAGTATTGCTGTGTGTGGTAAATCGTTATACCCATAAAAACACAATTCACAGTGGCCAGTCATGAGCAAGCAGCTAGCGATTATCCAGAGGCAGAGCTGTTTTCTGCTGTATTATCTAAGGCATGCCATCTAAGTGACATCTCTTTACTTCATTTCTCAGTCCTTTCCTCAGTCTGAGACTGTTCCACAGTCCCCTTGAGAATAGTTTGGACCACAATGGCATCATGTTAGCTAGAGTAAACTAATTGCGCCAGTCAGCTCTTAACCTCTCCTCTGTGATTTGTGCACTACTGGTAATCATAAGTGGCATTCATTATCAAAGGAGGGCAAGTGCAAAGCATTAACATAAGCAGAGCTGCTCAGTATAGGACTCAAACCAACCTGTTTTGTACGCTACCTTACAGGACTCAAACCAACCTGTTTTGTATGCTACCTTACGCCACTTGTCTATACTGCAAAGGCACAGGGAGAGGACCTGCGAACAAGACTATATTATAATGTGAACCTGTAGCTAGTGGTTGGTATTATAGTGGTAGTACCATACTTTGATGTTTACATGGAGCTCTTCACTGGTTCTCACGCAATACACCAAATAATGTCTCGGTGGTTGAGCTATACCCACACAAAACACCAAACCCTGTCTCACTGGATGAATATGTGGTTGTATAAGCTATAGCATGCAGTTTATGTCAATTCATACCTTCGTCAGTGTGATAGTTAGAGCTCTGCCGTCTCAAGAATGAAGTCCCTCGCCATACTGTGCATGCTAATCGGTGCTGCCGCCCTGGCTGCCGGCCAGCTCCACCACATCCCTACTGTCACTGTGGACCCGCCTCAAAACCTCGTCTGCCCCGTGCAGAGTACAGTGGATTCCGTCAGAGCGGAGATCACTCGCAACGTGTCGGAAATCCTGCTCGAATTTGCTGCAAATATGACCGAGAGTTACACCATCCCAGAGTGTGGAGGTGGGGGATGGAAGAGAGTCGCATTTCTGAACATGACGGATCCGACTCAGAACTGTCCTGACCAGTGGAGACCCTATGAACCATCCACTGCAGGTATCAGGGTCTGTGGGAGAATCGAGAGCCGCACAAGCACCTGCGACTCCGTCCATTTCTCCACTAACGGCTACAGCTACAGAGAAGTATGCGGGAGGATAACAGGCTATCAGTTTGCAAGTCCAGATGGGTTTTACCTCCCAGAGTACCTGCGTGACATTGACAACCCCTACGTGGATGGAGTCAGTATCACACACGGGACCCCTCGTACACACATTTGGACTCTGTTCGCCGGTGTAAGGGAATATGCCCTCGGTTGCTGCACCACTTCTTCTCCGCCTGATTTTGTCGGCAGCAACTACTTCTGTGACACGGGGAACCCGCAGAACGATGTCTGGAGGGGCAGATTGTTTACCGAGCACCCTCTATGGGACGGCGAGGCCGGGTGTCCTGGTAATCCAAGGTCTTGCTGCGCCCCACACACTGGTCCGTGGTTCTACTCCCAGCCTACTGCAGCGGGTGACTCACCAGTGGGGGATGATATCGAGGTGAGGATATGCGGAGGAGAGTCCACGTCTAACGAGGACACCCCACTCGAGCTGGTGGAGATCTACGTCAGGAAGTGAATTCAACAATTGGACCCATGACAATTCTGCTGCTGGAACTCTGTACCCTATAGCATGTACTTGTAAAGATTACTGTATTATATATACCCTATACTTTTGCATGCCCGCTCTTATTAACTGATGTAAAGATTACTGTATTTTACCCCTATAGTTTTCGCATGCATGTGCTTACACATCTATTCTGTCAATGATGTAAGATTACTCTATTGCGCAGCTATTCACAGAGGTTAGGGCATTATGGTCTGGGTGAGTGGGGACAACCAAGACACTCCACTGCAGTTGGTTGCGATTTACGCCAACAATAGCCCCAATTCGAGACTGCATTACAAGTCTATAGTAAAAGAGTTTGAACCTCTATTCGCATTACTCTAGTAACGAATTGAAGGTGATTAATTTCTGCTGATCGTGTTGTTTCGGTTAGCTAATGTTAGGATTATAGCAAAACAAAGATAAGACGCCTAATAGTAGTGAGCCCAGGCCTAACCTGGTGTCACAAACTCTAGGAGTGTCTGTTGAGTTCTTTGGTCAATTTCACGAGACTCAAAGTCCCACTTTTCCCTCAGCTCCTCCATCTTGCAGCACAATGAGTCCAGTGCATCCTGCATAATTATGATAGCATGCTATACCACTTGAACTCGGTAAAACCCCCGAAACTTTGGGAACATTGAAAGAAGCATGAGCAAGACTAAGTCTTGGTAACGAGGCAGAACAAATTGTCTGTTATAGAGAGGCAGCCTTCACCTTTATCAGAGGTTTGTATTAAACTTACGTATTAACTAGTAGTGGTGTATATACTAACCTCTAAGATGGCATCGTAAGACCTCTCTATGGCCCGGAGTCGAGCATTGAGAGCAGACACTTCCTCTTCCTTCTGCCTCCTCAGCTTGTCCCTCTCTCTACGGACCCCCACCAACTCACTCTCTGTCTCCTCTGTGTGATGTGGAGACACACAGTAAACCTATGATAAAGGACCCTCCGAGATAGGGACGACCTCTCTACAAAGGACACTTGTTTCAACCCCATACTAATACTTTAGTCTATTATTTGACCTCCGAGACAAGGACGACTTCTCTACAAGGGACAAAATTGTTGCCCCCATCTTGTTTGGAGGTTCCGCTGTGAAACGTTTGAAAAATGGTGAACCTTGGGGACAACGAAAGTGCCTTTTATTTAGAGCTGTCTCTTCGTTAGAGTAAGCGCTGTCACGGACAGGTTTCTTCAACCTTAGAGGTAAAAGTGTTCCGTATAGAGAGGTGTGCCTCGTTGAGAGGGTCCTTTATCAGAGACAATGCCCACATGAGTTTGTGGGGTATTACATAGGAAGGGAGGGAGGGGGGAAGAGGGGAATGACAGAGTGAGAGATGGAAGGATGGAGACCAGAAAGATAGTTACTGTGTGCCCATGAAGAACGGTCTAGACATAAGGATTAGAAATGAGGACAAAGAGGGAAGGAGAGCAACAGCTGACCGAGCTTATCTCGGAGTCTCTTGACCTCGGTCTGGAGGTAGAGAATGTGGGAGTCCTTCTCAGACCTCATCGTCTTGTATTGTCGTGTTAGCTCTGGAACACAATAATTAATGACCTTTGGTTCACTTCCATTTTATGAGCTGCCGCTAGCTTTTTAACTGATTTATCTGCTGCCAGGCAGGCAGAAGAGGAGTGTATGATGAGTGCTTATAGAATGTACAGACACATGAAGATATTAGACCATGCACAAGATCATAAGAAATACATCTAACTCCTTCCCCTAAAAGAACCCCTGAATATGTAATTATTACCCTCTGCAATGTCTTTCTTGCTGATCTGTTCTTCGTGAACCATTTCCCTGACTTCCTGCACTCTCTCTCTCATCACCTCTTCACTGGCTCGAGATTGGCGAGCATACTCCTTCCTTTCAGCTGCATAACACCATACACAGGCAAGCAGTAGATACCACAAGGTACTGTAGATACACGGAGTATTATCAGGAGCAACTGGTCCTGACCTACCAAGTTGTTCCCTGAGACTTCCGACCTCTTGCAGTGTCCTCTTGTACATCTCTTCCACTGACAGCTCACCACCTTCTGTGCAAACCAGTCAAAATTGCACTCAATAGCTACAAAGTCGGGTGAAACCTTCACCCAGTGCCAGTGGCCTCACCATCTTTCTTAGCTTTTCCCTTGCCCTTCTTCTTCCCTTTCTTCTTGGCTTTTGGCGGCATCTCCCAACCTATAAACACGTTTGTTGACGTTTCCTAACAACGGGTGCTCTTCATTTGGGAAGATAGACACGCCCCCAAACCAGATGAAAGTGGGCTCTTTTTAGAATTGCAGGCAGCCGGTCGTGTTCACTTTTTCACCGTCTTCCTCTTTAGTCTTCGGTGTTAACGCTGCAGTTGACTATTGACCCTGCCCTCTCTTCCGCGGGAATTCGCGATGTCTATGAGTCTCATGGTGCTCATAACGAGTCTCTACAAGGTGGCCACGGGGTGGCTGGTCCGAGCCGTCTACGGCGGGTCCCTGCACAACGTGGGGGTTCGTCTCCTCTACCTGCCGTCCCTGGCCCGTATGTCGTTCCTCTGGAGTTACATGGGGAAGAAGAACTGGTACGATAGAGTCGACGACACTGTCATTTTAGGAGCTCTGCCGTTCAGGAGCCAGACGAAAGAGGTCTCTCTCTTTCTGTATACCTATCATTATCTGTTCCTTGTGTGTATGTGTGTTTGCAGTTGGTGGAAAGAGAGAAAGTCACAGCTACAATCTCAGTCAATGAATGGTACGAAATCCAGTTTTTCACCAATAACAAGAAGGTCAGTCGCCACACAATTTTAGTCACCACCAATTATAGAAAAAAACCACAATGCCCTATTTTAATCTAAACTATGACAAAGTACCATAGAGGGAAACCTTTCGTGGATCAGTGGCCAACAAAATGAAAAGCACTAAAGTGCAAAATGCTTGCGTAGGCATGTGTGGCACAGCTGCTGGGCTGGGACAATGCTTTGTCGATTTACTAATGGTCTCCCGGGAAACAACAAACAGACAGAAGGCAGACACACAGACCAAATACTGCAACCCTCGCTGCGCATGTGCGATGAGGGTTAATAAAACGATGGCTCATTATGCCTTACAATAATTCCTCCCTCCACATATTATGTATGTAACAGTTGTGAGAGAACTTTCTCTGTTGGTTCTTAAACGGCAGTATTCGGAAACGTTTTCTCCCTCGAAAGTTACCTGTAATGCTGTATATTCCTGTGTAAGATACTGCAGTGGATCCTCTCTAAGGACATCCCTGAAATGAGGACACAACTCTCTTTTTCTTTCCCCAAAACAACACCTCGCTAGAATATGGGCACTTCCTTCTGTCCACCTCATATTGGTGTATGGATTAGAGGGGTTCCACTGTCCATCTCGTTGGTGTATGTATTAGAGGGGTTCCACTGTCCATCCCATTGGTGTATGAATTCGAGGGGTTCCACTGTATTTACTTTCTGCATGTATGTAATAGGAGTGGGAGGCCCATGGAGTGACTCAGCACTGGTTTGAGACGGTGGATTTCCAGCCTCCTAGTCTGGATAACATCAGAGAAGGTCTGGAGGTCATAAACCAGGTGAAGGCCAGTGGAAACAGTGTCTACCTCCACTGCAAGGCAGGGAAAGGTCGCAGTGCGGTGGTCGCTGCCTGCTACCTCATCAAGGTTAGCACACATAATATGCTTCACACTACAGCTTAAAGGGCGAACACGGTAACATAGCAAACATGCAGTTTTAAGTCCACCTGCCAAACTATAACCAACTATATGGCAGTAAAATCTTTGGGTTCGTATTGTTTATTCCACCAGAGTGTGGAATAGACTATACGTACCTCTCGTTCCAAGGCTTTGCCCTCTACAAGTATGTTATATACACGGTGTGATAGTATTGCATGTGGCGTAATAATGTATGTGTCATCAATGCAAAGGCAAACAGCACTATATACCACACCCAGGACAACTCTTTTTTTCAAGAAAAAGAGTTGCCCTAGGGAGATCGATTCGTACCCATGACACTCTATGCGAAATGAATGTAACAACGAAGTACGTAGCAAGGCAAAGGCAAAGCAAGCGAGTCAACTGAAGAGTGTCGTGGGTTCGAATGCCACCCAGGGCAACTCTTCTTCTTTTCTGTGCCTTGCCTTGTCTTTCTATATACCTACCAAGTTGTTGAGACATGTAGTGGGGGAAGGCCTGGGTATAAGGTTGTATGTGGGCTCTTTGCTACACAACACCCTGTATGCACAGGATCGCAACCTGTCAGTTGGTGAGGCGATAGACTTTCTTCGCTCCAAGCGACCGCAGATCAGCATCAACAAGTTCCAGAGACAGAGAGTGACAGAGTTCCTGGAGCTGAGCAAGACTAAGAGCGAATGATTACTGCTATCAACTGCTTTAGCCTACAGGTCTATTTATGAATTGGTATATACATTATGTATGGATTTTATAAGTGTGACAACATCATGTAAATTGTTGGAGAGGAAAAACACTGGAGTCTGTATTGTGTCTGTGAGGTCACTATTCTGCTGGGATGTGCACGATTATTGAAAATGCTCAGTTGTCCAATCTATGTACGACAGTCCGTAGTGGAACATCCAACACGCACGCTACCTGCGCGCTCTAGAACTGCGCATGGTACGGTTCGTGCCTTTTTGTCGCAGTATTGCAGTTGGTAATACGATATACTATATGCTAGTGGAAATGTTGAACATTGTTGGCGAGCGGGAGCGACCCAACTTGGGATATGCCCGCGATGTTCGGGCTGCATAACGTGCCGTCAGCGCACAGCTTTCCTTTCGTGAAGCAAGACAGATCTACCTTTTGCTTTAACATGCGTACTGTGCATTGGCAGAACGGTGAGCAAGTGAGCAGAACGGTATATACTGACCTTATGCTTTCAGCGTGGTCCACCAGGCAGCTAGCTGGCATGCAGCACGAGCAATCCTAGTTTCCAAGTTGCACCTTGGAACCATGAAGATTGGGAAGCGGTACAGCCTCTGCCAGTCACCGAAAGTTGCAGCGCATGCCGTCGGATGGAGGAGAGTTCTCTGGCTGGCTAGATCGATCGATCAGCGCATACCGCGAGGCAGCGAGTAGTATATAGTGTGAAAATTTGGAAGCGCGTAAGAGGCCGCGCATGCGCACTTACAGGACGTGGACGCGGACGGACCGAAAAATCCGCTCGAAAGAACGACTAGTTTGGCTCGCTCCCGCTCGGCTCGCCAACTATTAGAACGATGAGTACACGTCACGCACGCGAAGGCGACCCACCTGCCGAGCCATCCGGATCAAACGACCAAGTCGTTGGCCGGACCGGCATCGGAACCAAGCCGCTCGCAGCGCAATCGCCGCCTGACGACGAGGGCCACGACAACGGTGACGACCAGCATGCACTTTATGTCGAGGACCAACCCAGTCACGAGGACGTGGCGCGTCTCGAAGCCGACAACGACCGCATGCACCGTAACAACGAGGCTAAGAACATGGTTTTCGACGCTATCTACGACCAGTTACCAGAGAAGATCCAGGGCGAGATGTCTAACTGTGGAGTCGGCTGGAGGAGCAAGGACGCGGGGCTCCAGTTCAGTAAACTGTCTGAGGCCGAGCTAAAGCGACTGACCACGTGGCTATTGGAGCATAAGCCCTTTGCAGAACTCAAAGAATCCGAGTATGCAGGTATAATTAGCTCAACCCTTCATTTCGAGGGAAATACCCTGTAACAATAAGGCTAATTGGAATTGTATAGATCCAGTGGTAAGCGTTGAGGAAGAGAATCCTGACGGAGCAGATGGTGTACCAGTGTTTCCTCATGCACAAGTATCAGCCACCCCTGCTGCACAAGATGAGTGTAAGTTGTTATTGTGCCAGGGCTTGTATATATACACCTATTGCCTTAATGTGTGGTCTACACTATTCATGGTATTATGAGTGATTTAGGTAGGCATGCACCCACGGCAATGAATACTACAAATTAAAATTCAATTACAGGCACACATTCCAGGGGTAAGAAAAAAGTTGAAAAGACAAACAGTGTGCTGGGAAGTGGGTCGTATGGAGAGGTCAGGGTTGTGAAGCACAAGGGCATATGCTATGCTGCGAAGGAACTAAAGCTAGAGGATTCAGCTCTAGTCGACAACCTGTATCGCGAGGCTGCCAATCTCGCTCTGCTGGACGACGACAACATTGTCAGGTTCTGTGGGATCGGCGTGTACGAGAAACACCATTGCCAAGGTGTGTTCCTGATCCTCACTGAGCTCCTGGCTACATCACTGCATCGCTACCTCATGAGACGTGTCGGTATCTCGCTTCCGAATCAAGTCTCTATCCTCTCACACATTCTGAGTGGGCTCGAGTACATGCACCAGGAGCCGTCCATCATACACGGTGACCTGAAAACAAGGAACGTACTCTTATCGGAGAAGGGAATTGCAAAAATCGGTGATCTTGGAAGTTCCCACCTGGCCAATGACAGCATTGTTGGCCGGGAGGTGTGTGGGACTGAGGCTTACATGGCTCCTGAAATGGCCTCCGGGGATTACACTAAGAAAATGGACGTCTTTGCGTACGGGCATCTTGCCCTTGTAACCCTGACACGATGGGAAGTTGACACAGCCGAATTCAGTACTCCTAAACCAAACTCCCCCAACAAGGAAATTGAAAAGAGAAAGAAGCTGTTTGCCATGCTCAAACGTCCGATCTATGCTGTGGTTGGAGATTTTGTTCCCTTGATCAGGGCGTGTTTGTGCGACAAGCCGGCTGAGCGTCTCGCCCTAGACAGACTGAAAGACCAGATGCAAGACCTTCAGCTGCCACGAGAGCTTCCCAATGTTCAAACTGACACTGCCGTGAGAGAAATATAAAGCATTTCTATGCTTTTCATCACGTAGACTTCTTGACCAATAATAATTATGTCTTTGCTTTTACAAATAATATGGAAAATGTGTACAACTTAAAAGTATTGTACAATATAAAAGTGTGTAGCAATAAAAAGAGTCCTAAAGATTGTTACGACACTTTAGCGAGTTGTTTCTGTTGCTTGCGAACGTTCCAGTGAAGACACTCTGCGAGACTGTCAAACCAATCAGTCACATGACCTGTGTTGTTGATGGTGGGCACCGGACAGGCTGAGGTTGTCACCACCACACTGTGTGTGTGTGTGTGTGTGTGTGTTGGGTATGGATTATCAACGAGAAAGAGGAAGGGAATTTAAGAAATAATTAACTGGGGAGAGCGTGGGCGGCTTTTGTCAGCGTCATAGCATGTGACTGTCCAGGTGTCCGTAAAATGAACAAACTGAACTACTTAATAGTCATGTGCCACTACTTTCCACAAGTATTATACACATGGGTAATGTATTATTTATGCTATGCTACATTATTATGTTATCCTAGCTAGATTACAGTTACATTAGTATTAAGTAACATACTTTACTTGGGGCTTGCAGCTTGTCTCACACACTCTGTGCCTGACTGAAACCAAGCAGGTTTGCCTAGCTATATAAGCTGCTTGTTTTTACTAGTGATGTCATAAAGTAGCTACTATGTACACTATGACACTAGGCTATGAAGACACTAGGCTATGAATACATTAGTATATAAGCTGCTTGTTTTTTACTAGTGATGTCATAAAGTAGCTACTATGTACACTATGACACTAGGCTATGAAGACACTAGGCTATGAATACATTAGTATATAAGCTGCTTGTTTTTACTAGTGATGTCATAAAGTAGCTACTATGTACACTATGACACTAGGCTATGAAGACACTAGGCTATGAATACATTAGTATATAAGCTGCTTGTTTTTACTAGTGATGTCATAAAGTAGCTACTATGTACACTATGACACTAGGCTATGAAGACACTAGGCTATGAATACATTAGTATATAAGCTGCTTGTTTTTACTAGTGATGTCATAAAGTAGCTACTATGTACACTATGACACTAGGCTATGAAGACACTAGGCTATGAATACATTAGTGTGTGTGTGTGTGTGTGTGTGTGTGTGTGTGTGTTGAAGGGAAACATAAGCATGTTATGCTGAGCGAGACACTTCCAGTTGGTGTCACAGGTGCATGCTTTGAGGTATATATGCTTTGTCAAGGTATAGGCTACAGAGTGGCTGAGATAAAAAAAACGGTTTGTAGCCATCTCCGGTATAATATACATCAAAACACCCCTCGGATGATGTGAGGATGCTATAATCAGTGGTTTAATACCCAATCCTGAATTTTTGGTCTCCCCTACGTTCTACAAGACATGCACGTACGTACATACCTCAATAGTGAGAGTACTAACCTGTCTCCCTGCTTGATTTCCCTCCTGTTCCTGCCATCATAAGCTGCCCAGGCAGAGTTTCTGCTGTTTGCTGCTACCCTCACCTGCACCACAAAACATTTTACCACATGCTACAGTTTTAATATCAACATTTCCCGCATGCCATGCCATAATATTATATAAGTCATTCTGTCCTCCCACCCATTGTGCAGTCAGAAAAGGCTCGAGAATCATTGTTAGCAACCAATAGTAGTATGTACGTAGTATGTAACTTTCTGTAAAACATACGCAAAAAGACGGCACCTCAATAATTACAGTTTAGACAGCATATTTGGGTCTAAAAAGCTACAGCCTATATACACAGCCAAAGCAATATACAGTGGGTTAGATCTACACATCACTCTGCAGTGGGGAGAAGACGCAGTGAGTGAGTGAGTGAGACTCACAGTCATTTCGACGCCGGCGGGGAGGACGGTGGGTCTGAAAGAGAGGGAGTGGGGGCAGATTGGAGTGATGACCATGCAGGAGACACTGGGGTGGACCATACTGGCCCCTGCTGCCAGCGAGTAGGCCGTGCTGCCTGTCGGGGTGGAGATGATGATCCCTGGGAGGGAGGAAAGAAAGGGGGTGGACAGAAGGAGGAGATAAAGCTGAGGAAGGGAATACCATACAGCACCATAATTTGAAGCCCATATCTTCATGGACAAATCCTCTATTTGTAGATATGGAGTATATAGTGCATAAACACAATTTCCAAATTGACATTCAATGTGAAAATTGCACTGCCGTTTTAAAGTAGGGATATGGTATGAAAAGGAGAGAGAGGAAGGAAAAGTGACCTTAGGGAAGGAGTAAAGGAGAGGGAGCAATGGAGGAAGTGGAGATGGACAAAGACTTGAGCAAATATTGTGCTATTTTTTAACTACGTTACTGACATACACAATTCAGTACATGTGTTAGTAGTGTCTCACCGTCTCCCTGAACGGAGGTCATGAACCTCCCGTTGCAGTAGAGCTCCAGGTTGCAGAGGTAAGGGTGGGGACCTCTGTCCACCACCAACTCATTCATCACCTGACAGAGATGGAGAAAAGAGGGAGGGAGGGGAGGGGAGGGAGGACAGTCAAGGCACACAACAAACTCTTTACTTGAGGCCATCGAACAAAGAGAAAAATCATACAAATGTTTTTCCGAGAAAAAATTTTTCCTGGTTTATATAATCGCGTCCTAAATCACACACAGTAGTTGGAGGCAGAGTATTGCTATAGTAGGGCGAATGCAGGACATTTTTGGCGAGCGGGAGCGAGCACACAATGACTGTATCTGCACGAGTCATCCTAGCCTATTTACAACTTGCACCTTGGAACCATCAAGATTGGAAAGAGGTACAGCCTCGGTCAGGCACCGAAGAGCGCAGCGAATGCTGTCGAATGGAGGGGAGTTCTCTTGCCAGCTAGAATCGCACACCGAGGATGAGGCAGTGTGTAAAATAAAAAGAAGCACGTAATCCTGATGCATGCACAGTTGAATGGTCGGTTCAACGTAGAAAAATCTCGCCGTTTGGACCACTAGGTTAGCTCGCTCCCGCTCGCCAATTATCAAACTCACCAGTTGAACGCTGTCAGGGTCGGCACTGGTTGAGCTAAAGAGCTTGGGCTTGGCGTTGAAGAGCAGGGTCGTCCCGTTCATTGAGTCAGACTTGCCCGGAGGAGACACTGGACACGCGTCCTCTGCCGTCTCCACCACCTGCAGGTGGGAACCACCACCACCACCAGCATTTCCTTACCACACAAACAATATGATTATACCATACAGCGGAATTTTTCGAGGGAAAATGTTTGCGTTTCGGCAGCAAACATAAACTTCTGGGGAAAAACTGCTTGCCCCCGCAATTAAAACTGTCTGTGCCCACAATATTGCTCACAAACTGAAAAGTTTTAAAGTTCCATGGGTGTGGCATAGTACAATAAGGAGTGAAAGCCAAACACAAACAAAGCACAACGAACTGCTATTAATTTTTTACATTGCCAAGAAACTGTATGGTACAGTGGCGTAGGAAGCACGGGGGCTCCGGGGGCTGGCGCGTAGATAATCAGTGGGTGTGGCAACACCTACGTGTTCTTTACGCATGCGTGTGGAGCCCCCCTTTGTCCGAAAATCTTCCTACGCTACTGTGGTATATTGGCAAACCTCATAGTCAGTCTTGAAGACACACTGTAGTCTGTGTCTGAGTGTCAGACTCACATTACCTGCACACACACACACACAATGTACATCAAACACAGCACTGGCGGTGGCCTTTTCATTCGCTAATGCAAAGTGAAGTGACAATTGGCTAAGCCTGCCATGTGGTGTGACAGGCACTGCACATACGGTAATGTTCTACGTGATTCTAAATACTCGCGAAAATCAAATGTCATTCTGAATACACGCGAAAAATTGAACTGCTCTTGCTCACTTGCCAAAAACGTGTGGCATTCTTCTAAGATAATATTGTTTAGCGAGCATAGGAAGTAAACGCGGGCTTTGAATGTCCGGTTTTGGCCGCAGTATAGCGGAGTTACGGCAGTTTCCCCGAGTGCAAGGTGAACGTGACCGGACTTTAGTAAAACATTACCCTCAATGACTCTGCGTATGTCCTGTTGGTAGTTCTCGTACACAAAGTGAGTGAGAAACCCCAGAGATCCCACATGGAATGACATCATTGGAGGTATGGCTTCCTGCACAGACCACACACAGTGTACACAACAATACTTGTACATGTAGTAGTATATATGGCGAGACGAAACCTTGTGTACTCACACAGATGAAAGGTTTTACCAGCTAGGGCTGCAATTGAGCACGCTAATTTATACGTATCTCCTACTGCCTACGAACTAAACTTTTACAGGAGAGAGGTGGACTTATTAGTGAGTGTATGCATGCCAGCTGTAGTGTAAGAGGTGTCTTTTTAGCGAGGTGTATGCTGTTGCAAAGCTGTTGCAAATTTGAAGACTGCAGTAGGGGTATTTCTCACTCACACACAGTAGTTACACTGTTAATATATATACATAGGAGTGAGTACATACGGTCACAATAAGGTCACAGTTCAAGAATTGATCATACATGGTGTGTGCAATAGACCTGAAAGAGTGAGGCGGTATAGAGAATGGTGCCGTCTCCTCCGATACAGAGAATGAAGTCCACTCTGCTCAGGATCACATCTCTGTTACCTACGTAAGTAGAGATAGGCGGGTGGGGCACATGATAAACTGCCAGTGGTCTCATTAACAGGCAGAATAACGCCTGCGGATGCCATACGAAAACCTTGTACTGCTTTACTCAGTGGTGTTATTGCTCTATTATACCAAACAATTCTCTTTCCAGAAAGCACAATCTTTTCACATTCAATCTTCCTATGTAACAAGAAACCACCAGTCCAACACCAGAAAGTGGTGCTGAACCACATACGTACGAGAAATCCCCGAGGATAAATAAACCCATACCAGAAGATACAATATACTGCTTGGTTTATTCACTGTGCTATAGAAGACCATCAGAATGAAGGGAAACTAGTTCTGCCACATATACTAATACATTAGTGTATCTCCAAACAAGGGACACATCTGAATTTCAATGTCTCCAAGGTGTCCCTTACTACAAGTCGATAATTATACATTGCACGAACACCTTCTACGGCAGGTCCAAACTAGTTGTTTATAACACACTTCTTAGAAGAGCTACGCCTATGCAATAGGGAATTTGTCAGTTTAGGGACGCCATTTTTTGTGCTTCTGTGTGCAAATTGAGAGACAGGATCGCCCGGGAGTCTTCATGTTGACATACATGTGGTACACAGAGCCACAACAAACCACATGTCTCAAGTACACATGTGTTATCCAGGTGGCAGCTATAGAACACACACCCGGGCAACGGGTGAAATATGTAAGAATGAAAAGCACTGAAGTGCAAACCCTCGGCGAACTGCGCATTGGTACTGCTAATTGATAGGCTGGGCTATTAGTATGCGTTTACTCGTGTTCTCCCGCTAGTAGCTCGCGGAGAGTCTGATACGGGCTAGCTACAGTAGTAGATAGCATGCGGGAGTCGATACACGCCCTTCGTTGTGACTTCTTGTGCCTTCAAGATACACAGAACAAGCGGACCCGGTCGAGGTAAGCCTGTGCTAATTTGCATACTGGCTTGTTCACTTGCTTTTCACACCATAACTTTTGAATGCAGTAGTTATACGAAAATCACCTTCTTTTACAATGAAGCCAGTGTAGCGATGAACCCGTTGGTATCGCTATTTTTATTATGTCACGTTGCGTGTAGTCGCAGAAAACATGACAACAGACAAACGGAGAGACAGACAGACAAACACACACTCACAAACCAAGTACCATAACCCCCACTGCGCATGCGCTCCGAGGGTTAACCACACAAACACACATTCATAGTGGTCTCTGTCTAACCCCAGACACCCTAACTCACCCCTTCCACCAGCAACACTATAGCAATATTACCCATCCTTCTACTATGCCTTCCTATGTACATAGGCTCCCCCCGGCTTGTCAAAAGAGAACTTCGTTGCACTGTGAACATACGCTGCTCTATTACCAAGCCAGTATGTATAATTGGGACCACAACACTTCTCACAACTGAATAACAATTGCTTTTTGTTAACACTACCGTCCATAAAAGTGTCATGGACGGTTCTTAAATCAATAAACTCGAAAACAATTTACTCTCCAGTGACATGATTACTTATGGCAGGGGTTCCCCGGTAAATTAAATCATGGAAGGGGGTCTGTGGTGAATGAAGCACTCACTCTGGTCCCCATGTCTGGAGCTCTTTGAGAGGGAAATCAGAGTCTTCCTCAATCAGCTTCTCTGAGAGCACTGTCAGCTCTACCACCACTTTCAGCTCCAGAGTCTGAGGGAGGGAGGGAGGGTGGGAGAGACGAGAGTTCAGTTGTAGTCCCTTGTTTCAACACCATGCTAATACTTGTAATATTTGACCTCTGAGATAGGGACGACCTCTCTGAAAAGGTCACCTCGATGATAATACATTAGTGTATTACTTGACCTCTGAGATAGGGACGACCTCTCTACAAGGGACAAAATCGTTGGCCCCATAGTGTCCCTTGTTTGGAGGTTCCACTGTATACCTTACGGCGTGCTATTTATTATGATGAGTGAGTAATTGATTGTGCCTCACCTATATAGATATGGATTTTTCGGGCATTATAATGGAGGGAAAGCGTTTTCAACCAGCAGTGTAATAAAAAGTTCACTTGTGAGATGCATACGAAGTCAATTAGAATGCTCCGCTAAAGGACCTTCTGAATTACAGACACCTCTCTATTCTGCAGACACTACTTAGTTCTACCCCATACCAATACATTAACTTTGCTACTTTTGAATAGCAGGCGCCCCTTAATAAAGGACACATTAAATGTTCCCAAGGTGTCCCTTACTTAGAGAGGTTTCACCTACAATAGAGCCCCACTCTATGTGGTATATATGACAGGGGAGTTTCAGGTTACTCTAGTGGAAGTATAATAATGCCTTACAGAAAAGCTTATACAAGTGTCAAGATCAGGTTTCAAAGGTAAAGGTATTAGTATTTGTTGGATATCCCTAGGCAACTGACATGTATGAAGCTAGGTACTGGGGGGTTTTATTAGCCTATACAATCCTACATGTGCAAGCAGGATATCCAACAAATCTGTTGCAGTATATACCCAGACAGGACAGCATGAGCCCTGTAAGGGTATATACTGGGTAGCATGAGCCCTGTATGGGTATATACTGCAACATAATTATACATACACCACTACATAATTATATCTGAGCAACTAGGTTAAACAAAGTAATCTGGCTATTTGCAGAACTATATGAGTAAATGTACCTTCACAAGGAAAGCGATAATGGTCTTGAATTTCTCAGTGACTTCAAGGTCTCTAAACTTCTTGACGACCAGAACTGTTTGTGGTGGAGATGTCCAGTAGAGATGATGGTCACATGATGGGTCCTCTAATGGTGGAAGAGTAGATCGCCTGGGAATGGGAGGGAGGAGAGGGAGGGGAGGGGAGGGAGGAGAGGGAGGGAGGGAGGGAGGGAGGGAGGAGAGGGACAGTGAGGACAAAGAAACAAGACAGGGAGAGGGGAGGAAAAACGGAGGGAGGGAAGGAGGGGAGGGAAGAGAGTGAAAACAGGAGAGAGGAGTGATGGAGAGAGGGAGGGGAAGGAGCAAAAGAAGGTGTGAGAAGAATAGAGAGGGAGGAAAAAGATTGAGTGGAGGAGGGGCAAATTAATTGCTATCCATATGAACCAAGGAACAGTATGTGGTCATTAGCTAACGGTCATTGACCTTTCACCAAAGTGAAGCATGACAGTTTTACACACTGTGATTACTTACTGGAATCTGTGCAGGTTCTCTACCAACTGGGCTCGTGGTCCATAGAGACCTTTGACGTCCAAATCGATCTGAGACCTGTAACAGAAGTCGCGACAGTATAGCGTACCATTTATCACAGACAGCATCCGCCATTGCAACAACGAAAATCGACATGTAGCTATGAGGTTTTGAGGTTCTGGCGTAGCTCATTAGCTACAGCCCTGGGGACAAGCTGATGTAGTATAATACTGGCTGCAGAACGAAAATTCCAGGGACGGTTGGTACCGCACCTTTGGTTGTGGAAGGAAAGTAGTTTCTGTGTTCGTGTCCTCGTCTTCGGCTGCTCCATGAGCGATGACTCTGCGTCTTAGACCTACACCTAACGAGCTAAACAGGCACGATTATACCCGGTACCCCTTCAGTCAAGGGACACGCCTCTTTTCCTGACGTAATGCTGTGCCCCAAATCCGTTCCGTACCGTAAGCAGAATATAATCTGAACCGTGGGAGCACGGAGCGCGCATGCGCGAAGGAAGTGGTACAGAACGTACGCATGCGCAAACGAAACGGCACTATCATCGCAGCTCAGCTCAGCAGGAGGATAAAAAACTCATGGTGTTATGTGCATTGAAGTAAAAGGTGCTAAGCTGCAACAGTTTCAGAGAGACCGAGATGAGAAAGGATGTTGGAACAGTGTTTCTTGTGTAGAGTATTGTTGAGCTTACAATCCTCATTTCCATCTATGACCTGTAAGAGAGAGAGGGGGGGGAAGAAGAGAAGGAGAAAGGGGAATGCACTTAAATCAAGTACTTGAGTTTGTACAAAATGGCTCTTTACATTATTACTGACATTTACAAGGATGCCTTGTAATGAGTGCCATTAGGAACATACCAGCACTGGTGTGTTGCCATGCCAACTGTGGTGTTTATCATTTCCCAGCCAATTGTACAAAATGGATCTTTACATTATTACTGACATTTACAAGGATGCCTTGTAATGAGTGCCATTAGGAACATACCAGCACTGGTGTGTTGCCATGCCAACTGTGGTGTTTATCATTTCCCAGCCAATCCTCGTAGCATTCATGCAGAGCTTGAAGATATTCCTGCAATGAGGTATACAAACAAACAAACACAGCATGCTAATACTACACACACACACACACACACACACACACACACACACACACACACACACACACACACACACACACACACACCACACACACACACACACACGACACACACACACACACACACACAGCAACACACACCACACACACACACACACACACACACACACACACACACACACACACACACACACACACACACACACACACACACACACACACACACACACACACACACACACACACACACACACACACACACACACCACATAGACAGCATCATTGCTGTATCACCAAGTACAGCAGTACATACTGTAGTACTTAGTAGCCTAGGGGTATAGAGGGTATGTGTGAGAGACCTAGTGGGACACTTTCTTTTCTTGTTTTCACATCATGCACATTCCTTCACTGTAGCTATATACATACACCTAGCATGAAAGAAATGAAAGAAAGCTAAGTCAGTGTTATTCATAAACTTAATGCGTCAGTGTCTCTTACCAAAGTGACAGGTTTTTCTTCCTTTCTCCCTCTCTCTTGCAACCGTTGGTAGCACACCTCCGGAGATGACCTTAGGTAAACTGCGTGTGGTGTGCGTGTTTGAGAGAGAGAATTGAGGAAAGGAGAGAGAGAGAGAGAGTGTGTGCGGTGGTGTAAACCTGCCCACACATGTAAAAAGACCACAGGACCACCATAACTTAGTCAGTCCTACCAGTACACTGCCTTCCATAGCTAATATATACCCACACCATGCACAGAGGTTGAATTACCTGTAAAACCCTGAGGTGACAATATGAAAATCCAACACGAGGAAAGTGTCCCCCACCACAGGAAAGCAATGGGCTTTGGCTTAGTATAATTATATTTTTTTGCCAGAGGGTGGCCAGGCCAACTGCCTACAGTACTGGAATATAATACAGCTGTAGCTGATGCATGCAAGGTTGTGGTGTGTGTCAGCCACTACCTACATACCAATGAGGTCTAGCTGTGGAGGACTCTGCCTCGTCACAAGATCAAACCACTGGCAGTAGCACTCGTGTTCCATATCGTCCATCACTCCACTGTGCGTACACGTGTGTGTGTGTGTTGTGTGTTTGTGTGTGTGTGTGTGTTTGTGCATGGGGGTGATCGAGGAGAAAGGGAGGGAAAGTGAACAAACACAAACACAATAAGACCAGAGGCTGGGAGACTTTTGTCAACTTCACTACACGCAGCAGCTCAGTGGTCCAAATTACATGTATTTTTAGATTTACCAGGGTACCCACTTCTGCTTCAGTGTTTTGCGCTTGTGCAGCCCTAGCCTATCACATTGTAATTACACTCATGCAAACACAAGAGCAGGACATGGATGCCCAGCCTTGAGAACTGGGGACGGTGGGTTAAAGATCTTTGATGGCTAGCCAACTCTCCCCACACATCCAATGTCACAGACTCTCGTGCAAAATCTACAGCTTACAGTACTATATTGAAGTAATTACAATCACATACCTTTAGGCTCTCTGGGGGACTTGGTTCTACTAATGCACATTGGGGTATTTATAGGGAGTTGTGATGTGAGGTATGGAATTTCCTAAGGGGGAGTGGGCTTGTTACTCTATATAGGGTCCTGGGTGATGTAAGTGATACTCACAAGTGTGTGTGTGTGTGTGTGTGTGTGTTTGTGTGTGTGTAATGTCAGCATCAGCATTATTTGAGCACATGTCGTATGAGCGACCACACAGATTGCATGCTTCAGCTCTAAATAACATGTGGTGCTGTGACAGCAGGTATACACTACAGCACAAAACAACCACCAAACAACACACGTAGAAACATGCACGATGTCGTCGAAAGTGGAGGTTCTTTCACCCCCTCCCCACCTCCAAGAAAATTTCCACAATACTATGTGTAATTATACATTATTGTATGCTTGCATAATAATAATGTATGAATATACACCTTTTGTGAAGGTTTTTGACGAAACAGTATCGTGCACTGTAGACACTTCTCTCTAACACTGCCACTGGAGCCTCCTGAATACAGTCAATACAAGGATACAACACACATAGGCATACGTTGCAGCATGCGTATACACTACTGCCCTCCATGTAGCAAGGAGCTCTATCACGACACATTTTACGGGGGACTAAATACACACAAAGGTTTAAAAAGTAGCTTCACACAAACAGGGCTGTAAACAATCTTCATTACAGTGGATACCCTCTCTAAGGACACCCCTGAAATGAGGAAGCCTACTTTTGCTTTCACTAACAGCAATTCTAAGAGCTGTTTAAATAACTACCTTGGAAAGACAATGAAACCCCCGACCTTGGAAAGAAACTTGCCTCCAATGAAACCCCCAACACCTGACTAATACAGACACTTTATTCTGTTCCATTGGTAGGCTAAAGCATTAGACAGTTACATTGCCTTTTGCATTACCGGGCCATTATACAGATAATGAGCAGAATTAGCTGCAATACTGAGGTCAGCTCACCACTTGCTTGTGGTGGAGGTCCATCATTGTAAGGAGCACATACGACTGAAAGAGGTAGCCCCACCTCTTGGCATCTTCATACATACGGCCCTACATTACACAGTGTGCAATGAATTTTTTTGTCAGCAAACACGAGTGCAAAATGTCTGTGGTTTTACATGGTATGTATAGTGTCATCCAATTAAGTGATAATTATAGGCTCCAACAAAAAAGACCACCCAATAAGCATTGGAAGTATATACGAGCCACTGTAAATTTTCAGCCTATTGTGTATGGCTGATGTTTAGAACCACTTTGGTATCACTGATGTGGTTACTTAGGGAAATCAGATAGTAAAGATGTACTCGGGAGATTATTGAAGAACGTACGATGAGATTCCCCCCGGCTAGGTTTCTCCACTCCTCCACAGGTTCCACCATGATCTGCAACCAGTGAAAGAACATCAGACAGGTAAAGGCAAAGGGTGGGGGTTGAAAGTAAAGGAGGAAGGAGTGAGGAAGGGGAGGAAACAACAGAGGAGATGGCTCTACCTCAACAGAATTGATGCGGCTCAATTTGCTGAGAAGAGTAGATTTTCCGCTTGCAATGTTACCTTCAACTACAATCTAGAGGAATAATTATAACACACCAAATTCAACCGGGATCACTCATCAAGCTCTCTCTCTCTCTCGTGCAACAATCTCGAGAAACCAGACTCACTCGTAGCTTCCTCCCCTCCACCGCTCTACCACGGCTGGGGAGGTTTTCCGCGCTAGTTCTCCCGTGGCGTAGATCTGTATACTTCCTTCCTATCATGGCTGCTCTACTGCCGCGTCTTTGGCTGGGGTCCGTCCTAGGTAGGTTAGCTTTCGGCTTCGAGCTTCTCGATTGAGTTGGCGCGCCAAAACACTCGAAAAAGCCCGCGCTTCACTGTGATTGGTTGTCGGGCCGTGGAAATGCGCATGCGCAGTGCGGAAAAGTAGCCACCGGACCACACACTCTCCCAAGCCATAACTCAGGCCAGCCCCTCATTGTGCTTGACTAATAGTGACTAATATGTTCATGCCACACAAATGGACTGAAAAGCCTCAAAGGCATTGTCTTACAGAGGAAGGCATTCAAGTCAACACAAGCAACAGCTTTCAATGGGCTGTTTGCCAAAATCATTTGGCACCCAGTAACTGTTTGCCTCCCAGCTTCACTTCACATTCTATACAGGACATCAGATAGTACTATATATATTACACAAGAAAGTGATCTGTAAAATGAGACTGGTGCAGCGCATGACACCACACTCAGACAACAAAAAATGGAGGGGCATGATGAACTCTGCTGATGAGTCATTTGAACTTATAGTGTTTGAGAATTGGGTGTTTCGCAATGTTTGCTTCAACAGTTTTTACCAGCTCTGGTGTCCACTCAACCAAGTGCCTGCTCTGTGACTCGTTTGAAAAGGTATGTTCGGCGACCATTTGCAGGTAGCTCTCTGAGCAAGTCACGGAGAGTGAGTTGCAAACACGTTGCATCGTTCCTTTTGGGTTTTTGACAAAGCTCGAGTGATGAATCGTTATGTCGTTCAGGCCGGCCTGCTTCATCATGTCCAGTACACTTTCCACCTGTACAAAGTAGGCCTTGATCTGTTTCCGCAGGGCATCAATGTTCCGGTACTTGTGTGTTACGTTTGTCGTCTGTTTCACGTGATCGTTGTAGAGGAGCATCGTAGCAATGTTGTCGTAGGGATTTCTCACAACGTGTATCGCGTACACAGGGACCCCAGCGGTGGAGCAAAGTTGTCGATACACAGAAACAAACTTATCCTTGTTCCGTCTGTATACCTGTGCTGTCATTCCACCGGCCTTGTCCCCTATCATTGTAATGCCCCCCTCATAAGTACCTTGGTACCAACTTGGCACCTCTAGACTGTATCCTTTTTTCTTGATCCCGCCCTTCCCCTGCCTGAGGCCAGCTTGAGCAGAGAAGTGGGAGCTGTTGAAGAGTGTATTGAACAGGAATTCCCGTCGGTTGTTGAACAGATCTGGAGTCTCTGCCCACCGGTTGAACAGTGCATACTCGTGAGCGATGACGACGTTCGGATGTGCGTCCAGAAAACTGGCCACGATGCTGTGCCCGCTGCGGGCGTAGCCGACAAAAAACAAAAAACCGTCCACACTCTCGACGACGTTGCTCGGGAGCGGATCAAAACTGTAGTTCTTTTGTCGCTTCTTGTTCGGTGTCTTGGTCGATACGATCCCCGCGGATCTGTAGGTAGCAGAGCGCCGCCTCGGAGAATCTCCGTCGCTTAGAGCAGGTCCGTACCGACGGCCGTCTACGCTCCATTCGACCGCAAGAAGGAACAGGAGGGCCAGAGCGGCCAGGAACACGACGAGTCGAATCTCCAAACGCAGCATTACATCGGTGCATAAGGTGGTCTGCAGCGTGTTGAGCTCAGGAGCGATGCCTTTCAGCAGTGTAAGGAAGCAACATTGTGCCAAATTGCACGCCAATCCCGCACTGACGCACGCCACACCCGACGACCGACGCGACAGAGCGACCGGCTTTGGTCACGCCCCCCGGCCGGTATAGCTCACCGACTACTTCTGCGCATGCTTGGGAATTGGTTTGACGAGAAGACAAGACCATCCTTCCAAGAGAGTGATGGACTGAACCATTGCTACACATTCTGTGGGTGTTTCACCTCCCCCCACACACCAGTGACACACTGCACCCCCCAGAGGTAACTAACCAGAGAAAGTAAAACTTAGCCAGCATAGAGTGAAACCTCAAAATAAGGAACCAAAATTAATGATTTTTAAAATCTACATGAGCCCACCTAATCACAGTTGCTTTCCTCAGTACCCTCTTTGCCATTCTTCCTCTCTGACGGTAAGCTTTGTATAGTACTTAGCAAGTAAACAAAAAAAGTGTGGAATGTAGGGATACCATAAAAAGCAAGGAGACAAAACAGGGATGACCTGGGCATGTGATGCACTAGTACAATAGGATGATTGTTACATCTTGTAACTGACATTTCTTGCTCATTCAATACAAGCCCTGTATTGTCGCCACTATTATTCATGACATGAGTTTTGAATAGTGTAGTGTGAGAAGACTGGCAAACAAATTCTATAAAGAAAGCAGCATTGTAAAACCGGTTATATGAGTGAACATTGAAGTAAAGACAGTCACGATTCAAAACTGAGGACCTGTCAGAGAGGGCATTTGCTACCTGTCTTACGTACATAGGAAACGAGTCATAGCTGCACATCATACGATAGAGATCACTCGTGCTTTGCGACAATAATATAGGGCTTGTGTGGAGTAAAATTTACATGAGCAAGAAATGTCAGTTGCAAAATCATCCCATTGTACTACTGCATCACATGCCCAAGTCATCCCTGTCTTGTCTCCTTGCTTTTTATGGCATCCCTACATTCCACACTTTTAATTCGCATAATTTTTATTTACTTGTCTCCTTTCCTTTTTTTACGGCATGCACATGCATTGGGGCATAATGTCCATATAAAAAGTAACATGTATTGGAATTCTTATGTCTATAGTAGGGGGCAGTATTAATGAGAGGGAGATTAGAGGGGCTAAGTAAAGCTGTTATTGTATAAGACATTTAACAAGGTGGTAGATTTAAAAAAAGTATTTGCATGGGAAAAGTGATGCTGGGTCTAGATTAATGTTTAAATTCAGGTCAGGCACGCATGGGGAACTGGCATAAGGGGAGGGAGGGGATGAAGGAGTGCCTGTTGTGTGATAAATTTGGTTCTTTTGCTTGGCCTTGTTAAAGGTTTATTTCGGATGTTTGGGAGCTAAGAAAGGTTAGGTTATATGGTGATAATCCCTGTGTAGCTATATACAACAGATCCAGTCTCAGATTGTGTCTGGGGAGCTGCAGGGTGTCGCTGGTGGAAGGGATGAGTTGAGGTGTCTGGGAGGTGAGACAGACACCTCATGTTCATATGGTGTATGTTCGTTTATTAACGGTTCAGCCCATTGCTCTGGGTGCGTGGTCTATATATGGCCATAGTGCTATGGCAGTCACCTGAGTATTATTATTATTATTACATGTAAACAAAAATTGTTTGCTCTGTCACGACCTGTCATGGATTCCAATCTTTGTGCAAAGTTGATCTCCATACCTTACCTGGTTTTTGAGATATGAAACTGAACAACAAAACCACAACAACAAGAAGAAAATTGAAAAGCTATTTCTTGGATATATGCTCTTTGTGACGATACAAATTAGTCTGATGTGTCAAAAGTTGGAACTGAAATAGAAAAGTTAAACATGAAAAGAACCCTCGACGAACTGCGCATGCGCGATACTGCTAATTAATGGTAGTCTAGTCTCCCGCGCGCTAACAGCTCGCGGAGAGTCTGACACGGGCTAGCTACAGTAGCAGATAGAATGCGGGAGTCGATAATGCCATTCGTTGTGACTTCCTGAGCCCCCAAGGTACAAAGAGCGAGCAGATCAGGTCACGGTAAGCCCAGTGAATGTTGGCTTTTTCGCTTGTTTCTTGTTTCACGGCATATCTCTCCAACGCAGTCGTTGCAGGAAATTCGCCACAAATTTCTGACCTTCGTTACCCGTTAAGTATTTAGTATGGTTTGTGAGACGAAAACACATTCGAGAAGTGAGATTGAAAGTAACAGACGGACAGACAGACAACCCAACTACTGTATAACCCTCGCTGCGCATGCGCGCCGAGGGTTAGGTGAGCTAACCCAACAATTTCGTGTTCAATTACTTCAATATCTAACAGGTGGAATCATGTGTAGACCAGTTGGCCAGCTAGCGAGTCGTAAATAAGTCAGTGTGCATCACGTTACTACACACAATGGTAGCTAGCTATTATACTTACTCTCTCTCCCCGTTAGCATGTTGCAATGAATGATGCGCCAGAGGTGCATTTTACTCCACACTGAGGCCCCAGGCCCAGGTAAAGGGTGTACGACTATACTAATCCCCGAATTCTACCAAACAACCAAGCGAACGAACCACCCTTTGCCTGTTATATCGCATTCGCAGCGGCTCGACGGTTCAAAGGCTGCGGTTTTATTTGCGGCTTTAGCTTATTATACTCGCAGCTACCGCCACGCAGAGCTCATTTTAGGACGAATTTGCGGAAAATGCTGCTCTGCTGTGGCATAAGGCCAAAAAGAACCGTGGTTGCACCAGCCCCTCCATCTCCCTACCCCCCACCACCGGCGGAGCTCTACGACTCCGATGCAAAGGACCAAAGTTATTTCAGCGAACTGTCCACCTTCGCTGAGATAAAGATGCCGAAACGCCCGCGGAGCTCCTGCCAGCAGGTCATCAACACGACGCCCTATTTCGGGCCGTTCGCCGGTCGAAGAGTGACTTTTGTTGTAGAAGAATCTAGAACGACTGTTTTGGTGGACAACCAACATATAACAAACCGGTTAGATTTTACGCAGGGTCGAAGTGGCAGATCCATCAAAGATAGATGTATAGCTTTCCTTCACGCGACAGGTCGAGACGGCGCCCACTGCGAGTATAATGTCCCTTCCCCAAAGCCACCAACACTGAAGTTTTTTTGCGAGAGACGCATATGGCTCAGCGGTGAAACGCCACTGGGGATGCCGCTGGCGGAGGCTCGCAGGTTCAACCAGTATCCGAAGCAGACCCTGAAAGTAAACGTATGGCCGTCGTCCGTTGTGCGCGCTCAGCCGATGGCGAAGAAACTCAAAATCAGCGTGCCGGTTTGTCTCTCTTTCGGCGAATTAGAATACTTTATGCGAGAAGCGCTTTACCTGCAGTGGTCGCATGCGGCTCTACATTTACGCGAACCGGAGGGGATCTATCCACTGCAACCGTCAGACCCTCTCAACTCCCATCACACGGAGCTGGAGTGCTTCGTCCGAGTCCAGCCCGTCTGTCTGACTACACCGCGACCGTTTCTTCTCCCCATCTCCTTGATTGGCATAGGGACAGGCGAAGTCAGAGTCACTCCTGCAACGACAGTGCTTGAGCTCGAATGTGAGATCGCAGAGCTCTTTGGTCTACAGCAGGGAGACTTCGTCTACATCCCAGCCCTCTTTTCTTCCCAAGTTAGGGAGTCGTTTGGCCTTGGAATGTTCTTCAGTGCCAGCCGAAGAGAGGCGGATGCAATGGCTCTCATTGACCAGTCCAGGCGATTTCCCATTGCCTTGAAGGACCCAACACTCACGATTGACCACCGCCAATTGTCCCTCTACAGCCTAACACTCAGGGAACTTGGGTTTCTTATTGACTCCCCGCCACTGGTATGTTTCTGCGTCAATGGACCTACTGTCCCCATCTCCTTCCGGGCGACTGCCAATGGCAGGGATGCTGCGAGTCACATGAGAGTGACAATGGACACCAGAATCATCAGCATAAATCTGAAATGGACGACATCAACTCTTCTGAAATACGTCGAGTGCGTCAGTCGGTTCCCTAACTCTAGACTTATCCACAGAAACACAGAAGTCCCCCATAATCAACCAATAGAGCAGTTATTTGCCCGACAATGGGTTGTCAACGACCCTAGGGGTAGAAAGGCAATATCACCCAGTTGTATTAGAATTGTGTAACGGTCTATATTTTTGTCTCTCTCATACAGTCAGTGTTTCCATTTTTGTCTGTCTCAATCAGTGTTTCCATTTTTGTCTCTCTCAATTGGTGTTTCCATTTTTGTCTGTCTCAATCATTGTTTCCATTCTTGTCTGTCTCAATCAGTGTTTCTAATGGTGCATTTTGTCTCAATCTGTGTTTTACGTCGGTCTCAACCTGTATTTTTAACGGTGCATTTCTGTTTGTCTCGACTCTCAATAGGTTTCTCCCACCTCAATCGCAGTGCAGAATGCGCATGCGCGGCGCGCTGGTATAATTTGCTCGTGTGAACATAAAGACTCTGACTCTGACGGCAGACGGCTCGCTACTTCAGAGCGAGTAAACAGCTGCTGTAACTTCATCAGCAGCCTGCTAGACTGCTGTAGCTAGACGGTTTTCACTCGATTGTACACTCAGCGGTAAGGAGAGCCTGAGCGAGCGATGGATTCTCATGGGTCATGGCGCGGCGAGGGCGGGGAGAGTGAGAAGTGGGGGTGTGTCTTCATAATTAGCGCTCAGACCCCGCCCTCTCCTTTCTTGGCAGCGGACATACTACAGTCTAGTCACTCTCCCCTCGCTCTCCATCGCAGTTATTATGGCTCAGTCTATAAACGAGGGCTGGGTCGCTGGCTGGAGGACTATACACCCACGGTGAGTGTGTATTCCCACCAAAATAAAGCTACACCAGAGCTCGTTCTTCAGATCCCCGACTCCCTTACTTTGGACTATCTAATGAGTTCAGGCTTCAAGACAGACGATCCTAGAGTGTAAGTTATCCTGATGGTCACTTGTGCCGTTGACAATGTGGGAGGGGGGAAAATGTCAGATCTGTTGTACTGAATCGGCATGTGTCAACAATGAGGTAGCTGCTAGCGGGGCAGTGGTAGTCAACTACGCCCTGGACCACTCTTTCCCCCAAGGAATAAAGAAGAGCTGCTCGCCTAGGTGGGATTCGAACCCATGCCACTCTGCAATCAGGAGAGAGTTCTATGTTGTAATATTATGGTGGCCTATAAATGAAATACTAATCGGATTGCTCATTTATGCATGATCATGTAATCTCTGAAGGTGAGTATTCTTACTCACATTTATTTTTAGGCGTAGCTTTTTACGTGAATTTTACCAGTTTTGAACCAACTTCACCTATATATTATAATTATATATATTATAATTATATATATAGCCTCCTTCATGAGACTACAAGTTCCATAGCATAAGGTGGTAGGCAGTTGGTGGATTCAGTGAGGGTTCGTATCACATTGAAAAACCCTAGTTTGTGTAGTGCAGCACACTTGTGTATTATACTCACTCACTTATGCTACAACTCTCAAGGTTGACATGTTTTATGAAGTGTGTGTGCTTTGTAGAGCTTGCAGGCAAACATGCTTGTGTATAATGGTTAGCTATATTTCCCAAACCGAGTGGCTAAGCTTCTCATCTACAAGAAGAAAGTAGGGTCGGAACCCCACCCCCACCCCACTTTCCTATAGTCAGCGTAAAGCGTAGTATCTCTACAGTTCTTTTTACAACTCTCTGCGAGATTTCAAGGGCATCTTCCAACTTTACCACTGCAAAACTGGGCCATGAAATGCAGAGGTAGATGTTGAAAGCCTGCATTCCTGAAATGTTAATTGAAAATTGTGGTGATTCATGTTGACTCACATGATCATCCTCTGGGGTTGACCAGTGGTCTAGCAACATAAACTGTGTGGGTGAGAGCGGGGAGCTAGCGCTTGGCCTATATTGCGCAAGTCTAATCCCCAGCAAAAGAACAAAGTGGCCATATGTTAGTGGTATCTGTGTAAACTGCCCTTATCAAACCACAGACATGGATACAAACCACTAAGAGCTGCAGGTTTTAGCCTGCACTTCGCCTATGCTACCCTGCATCTGACAAAAAACGATTTTTGGGCCTTCTAAATTATACTTGCCTTTTCTATATACATAAATTGATATTTGTGTACCTATTAGTGATGTATAGAGACATCTGCACACTTCAGCCACAAAGAGTTCAATGACGTAATATACATTATCTCTTTAAGACACAAAATCGGGTTCTGTGCTCTATATACTGGGGTGTCGCCGATTTTATCAAACATGCTGACGTAGCACATCCATCCACATTAATACCAGATCCTATTTAGCCCAGAGGAGAGGTTCTCACTCACAAGCAGCAAGGTGTAATAGCAACCCAACATACAAAACTGAGGTGCTTGCACATTCTTCCAGCTCCCACAAATGATCCTGTGGTTAGATAAACAGGACACAGTGTATGCAGGTCAAGGGCTCTCCTATCTTGCCTTTTGGGCTGTCCCTGGGAAAGTCCCTTTATCCTGTAGCCCCTTGGCTGTCCTTGGGCTGAAGTGAATATTTTTTTATGCTAAACTCTTGTTTGCTACCAGTTTTGCTGAGTGTTTTAACACCAGACTGTTAGTTACTGTGTGTGGCGAGCGCCTTCTTGGCTGCAAACCAACTCAGTGTTCCTTCGGCATATTATTATAATTATTATAACAAGAAACAAAATAGTCTTTGTTGCTGAAACGCTGTGCACAATACTTCCTCCAGGTACACGAATTCTAAATATTCCTCAGAAGCTAAGCGTTAGCACTTGTCTCTCTGTCTCCAGGGACTATGTTGGTGGTGTTGCCATCACCCGAACCATCTTTATAGAGCCATTTGTTAATGAGGGTGGTATAATCCCTACCTGCGTCCCTGTGTTGATGTGTTCATCAGGGTGGTAAAATCCCTACCTGCGTCCCTGTGTTGATGTGTTCATCAGGGTGGTATAATCCCTACCTGCGTCCCTGTGTTGATGTGTTCATCAGGGTGGTATAATCCCTACCTGCGTCCCTGTGTTGATGTGTTCATCAGGGTGGTATAATCCCTACCTGCGTCCCTGTGTTGATGTGTTCATCAGGGTGGTATAATCCCTACCTGCGTCCCTGTGTTGATGTGTTCATCAGGGTGGTATAATCCCTACCTGCGTCCCTGTGTTGATGTGTTCATCAGGGTGGTAAAATCCCTACCTGCGTCCCTGTGTTGATGTGTTAATCAGGGTGGTGAAATCAGTTCTGCATGCAGTAGTAGACACATGCAGATCCCCTCTCACACTGTTTCCTCAGGCCCAGATCAAATAGTCTACTGAGACTAGATAATAGGGGTGTCCAGACTGCTTCAAGGTGGAGCATTAATGCTTGTGATTAATTGTGTGGCATGCCCAGCACCATCTGCACAAGCATGTGAGATTAAACTCAAGTCCAGACCAATCAAAGGTGAAAAGACCACCCCCTATCTCTGCACTAGATAAAAGGCTGGTTTTGCAGAGTGGGTGTTGTTTGGACAAGGGTTCCTCGGTGGATTGTAGTTAAGGGCCCATAACTCGGGAAGCATTTATCGTGGTGGCATGCCCAGTGCCATCTGCACTGGGCATGATAGATTGAACCGCAGCAATGCTTAGATATGCACAGTACACATGTCCCTAGCCCTAGGCCCCTCTCATTCTTCCCCTCAGCCCAGACCAATCAAAGATAAAACGGCTCCACAGTTGGACTAAAACAACAGTCCGATAGTAGTGGCTGAATGACCAATAGTGGTCTCCTGCCCGCTGTATAGTCCTAGTGTGTATATAAACACTAGTGGTTGTAGTAAACCAGTAGCTGTTCCTAGCCCACACATATAAGTACGTTAGCGCTGACATGGATGGCTCTCTTGACTGGGTTACCTAGGATTGATGAATCAATGCATCTCGCTCCTTATCTTAAGCCTGATAGACAGAAGGAATGACTTCTGTTGGACTAAATGCGGTTCAATCTATATTAGAACCGCAGCAATGGTTGGGATGGTCTAACTCACATACAGCTAGAACATTGTAGCTACCCATCACAAAATCCCACATTCAGACGACTAGGTAGGCTCTCTATGCGACCAACTCTCCCGGAGCCAGCCCTTTCTTAGAGATGGTCAATGTATACTTGCAAGATTATCATACACAGTGCACTTGCCAAGGAAACAAAAGGTGAATGCCCAGTAAGAAAGAAAGGCAGAAAGAAAAATCAGCTCTACCAGTGGGATTCGAACCCACCACCTGTTGTTTCCTTGGCAAGTGCACTACCACAGCTATGGGAGAGCTGCAGACAGTAGGCAGCGGAAAAGAGCTCTTATCCAACTCGAGAGATTATTCGACTCCTTAGTGTCCTCTATCTTCTCATGTAAAATGGCAGCAAAAACATGTTCTCACCACGTTCTCATGTGGGTGGCTAGTAAAAACAGCAGTATAAACTGTGGCATAGATATGCACACACACGCACACCCCATGTATGATAATCTTGCAAGTATACATTGACCATCACTATGAAAAGGGCCGGCTCCGGGAGAGTTGGTCGGGCATAGCGAGCCTACCTAGTCACCTGAATGTGGGATTTTGTGATGGGTAGCTACAATGTTCTAGCTGTATGTGAGTGACGAAAAATTGAATGTCATTCTAGCTTAATATGTGTGCTGCCTACATACGCTCACTCATACATGCTAGTCAACACCTTAAAGTTATTCACGTGCTCGTGCAATAAAAAGGTCCACCCTAGTTACTTGGCCTTTGGAGCCAAAGAGCCTGGTGGTGGGAGATATGACCTGGGCAGGGAAGCCAAGCAGAGGCTGGGATTGTGGCGAGCTTGCGCATGTCTTGGTCCAGCCAGCTGGACTGGCTTCCATCCCAACCACACCAGACCACAGGCTAAACCTCTACCCAGGGCCACTACACTGGAGCTGTAGCCTTGTTCTGGGGCTCTGCACAAATCTAGTGACTCGTAGGAGGGGGCCCAAAATCTTGGGAACCTGAGCTCTAGTCTTGTTCTGAGGCTCTGCACAACTTGCTTCTCAATGTACATAAGTTTGGTGACTGGTGTGTAAGCCTGGATCTTTGGTTCTAGAGCTCTAGCCTTGTTCTGAGCCTGTGCACACTTTTTTCTAAACCGGACCTAGAATATTGGGTCACTAACCAGGGAGAACCGCTCTAGTGCTTCTGAGGCTTTGCACAACTTATTTCTCGATGTAGTGCGTGGTAAGCCTGGATTCACAATCTTGTTTCACTAAAAAACCAGGGCCACTGCACAAGTATAGCCTTGTTCTTTAATTGTGCACAACTTTTTTCTCAACAGGATTCAGCATCTTAGGTCGCTAGCCAGGACCAGCCGCTCACTAACCAGTTCACTTACTTGAGCTATAGCCTTGTTCTTGTGTTCTGGATTGTAGACCGAAGGGTGAGTTGTGATTCTGGGGTCATCTATTGACCAATGCCACTGCACAGTAGAGCCTTAGCAGTTTCCTCTTTCTTACTGGTGTACTTACAAGTGCCTGCTAGATATGGATCCAGAGTATTGCTTTTTTCAAGCCCTTAATCGTACAGACTTGCACACACCCTAATGAGAGTGGGGCCACCATTCTTGACATGTTGGCTGAAGTCAGCAAGGGAAAGGGGCATGTCGTTTGTGGGTGAAATGGTGAGAAACGGCGGTTTATATTTTATGATTTCCTCATTAGAGGGACACCACAGTAGAGTGTGTGGTACATTTCCAATGTACGGTATAATATTTTGGTGGCCTTATGTTCCCCACACCCTGGTCCGGTGTGTGTATATGAATTATAACTTGTACACTGTGTCATTGCGTTGAAGGTTTGAACCCCTACCAACTGAGTTGCACTGGTAGCTCAGCTGGTAGAGCACTCACGTATAGTATATAGTGCAGAGTGTCGTGGGTTCGAATCCCACCTGGGTGTAGTTAACCCTCGGCGCGCATGCGCAGCGAGGGTTACTGTAGTTGTCGACGGAGGTCAGAAAATATGTGGCATTTTCTCTGAAACTGCTCGTTGCAGAGCTAGAGTGTTTTCCTGTTCGTATGGTACGGCAAGGGCGGCCATTTTAACAACGCGCATGTGTGTATACACCAAAACGCACGCGACTCCGAGGCGGCAGGTGGCCAAAGCGGCGCACGCTGATTGGGACAGCACATTTCTCTGTGAGACTAGACTGAGAAGACGGTTGAGTTCAGTAAGTATGCCTCCAACTATATAAGGCGTTTGAATTGTAGCTCACTAGGTTAGGCTTGGGAGGAAAGAATAATCTTATCTATACAACAATTCTTCCAGACCTGGTGATACCATTGCCCCACCCATTACTTTACATAATTGTGCGTGTGTGTTCACTATTATCACTGCGCCCGAGGGTTTGCACTTCAGTGCCTTTCATTGCTGTCATTGTTGATGCATGTGCTAAGTGCCAATCATCGAAGCAACCTTAGCTAGCTGCATAGCCATCTAAATTGTGTGATTAACCTTCGGCGCGCATGCGCAGCGAGGCACGTTTTCTGCCACCACGCGCAACAAACAGGTAAAAAGCGACACCAACGGGTTCAGTGCTACACTGACTTTAATAAAGTAAAAGTGCCGCATTCAGAAGTTATGGCGTGAAAACCAAGAATATGAAAAGCACTGAAGTGCAAACCCTCGGCGAACTGCGCACGTGTGGTACCACTAATTGATGGGCTGGGCTTTTAGTATGCGTTTATGCGTTCCCTGTACACATAAAGCCACTGACACCGTTACTGCACGCCTCAATTTTCGACAGTATTCATGGACCACATCTATAAGCTTCTGTAAGTGACTTACACTAACACCCACGAAGTCATTGGCAAACAAAGTCCTTCGAGTCTCTGACCAATACTTCAATTGATCCTGAGCTTGGCCTCCTCCTGTTGAGGGGGGTGAGCAAATCAAAATTTCAGGGGAGGAAAACTTTGGTAATAAACCCTTGGCACACACACCAGCGAGGGTTGCGGTGTATACTTGGTCAGTGTGTCTGGTTGTCTACAGCAACAGCACTACAGGATATGAGGCGACCTCTAATCGACAGCAACGGCTTCAGGGCTACACGAGTGCGTGAAAAAAGAACGATTGCATTCAAGAGATGTGCCGTGAAAACAAGCGAAAAAGCCAATAGCATAAATAGCACTGGCTTACCTCGACCTGATCCGCTTCCTCTGTATGAGTATATAGTACTGTGCATGGGTATAGTTCCTATAGTTTCTAGTGTGCTAATGGTTTGCATCTTAGTGATTTTCACTTTATGCCCCACGCACAAAGCTTTAAAATTTCAGTCTCTCACCACTCTACTCATTCACCATGCTCTCATCCAGAGTTCGACTCATTTCACTGGCAGCGCAGAAGTTCATCTCGGAGGTGGCAATGGATGCTGTCCAGCACTCCAAGAGACGGGGAGCCAACCAGGGCTCCAGGAAAGGAGGGAAGGTGCGCCTCTGCCTGCTCTGTAGTTCAGGATTAATTCTCTACCCAGGCTCTACCGTTTCATTATGCATAAAAATATTATATAAGAAGTCTCTTATAGTCCTCTTTCTTACACTACAATGAATGCCATGCGTGAGCAGTTCAATATTTCACATATTTTCCCGTGTATTTAGAGTCACGACTGTAGTGTAGTGTCCATGCAGTGCCCGTCACATATAAATGTACTATAATAGAAATTCCTGCATTGAAGCGACTGGTTCGGCTCGCTTCGCTCGCCAGTAAGCCTGTGCTGTTCAGCTATTACGTTTCATCAACATTGCAAGTATAAAGTATAGGAAAAGCCACAACTACAGAACTATGATCCTGGGCCACAGAGCACTACACACCTGTAGCGGATTGAACTCACACACGCACATGCACACACACACACTCGAACTTTGAACCTTTGCACATGGTCATTCTTCTAGAACATTCTTGTGGTGTAGTATAACACTACACACCTCATAGAATCAAAGATTACATCATGTTATTATTCCATTTTCTTGCAGGACCGTAAGCTGATTCTGACACTAGAAGATCTGGCCCCTGCCCTTCATGAGTTTGGCATAACCATCAAGAAACCTAGCTACTACACATAGACAGACGCAGCACCACACACGCTCTCATCATCACAACTCATTGATTTTTAGTCATCAAATGTTGTTGGTAATACCAATAGTAATTGCAGACTTTGACAAGCTGACAAGAAAATTATCGTGTCTATTATTGATTGTACCACTGGAAGAGGTGTGAAGAGTGTCAAAAAAGAGGCCAAAGGCGAACAAAATACTCCCAAGAAAACTCTTCTTGTGATTATGCACATGCACTGCATGCTTAAAGCATATCGTGCATGCAGGGTAAGCTTCCCCGTTCAGCCCCTCATGTTGTATATATGTACACCATGAGGGGCTGAATGGCCCTAATGGTAATGGATAGCTCAGAATGTTACAGCCAATTGACTTTGAGAATTTGAACACTCGCCCGCACAAGCAACCATTAATATTTGGAATCTGCTCACTACTATACATATACAATAAGGTAATGCCTTCCTAATCTTCAATTATAGCTCACTATTCACTCTGCACTTTGATATAATTATACTAACTTCATTATTTACGGCCATGTATCACTAAGTACGGTAGTATGTACTTAGTATATATTATATATACTTAGTATATAGGGATGACACAAGTTGTCCTGCATTATGCATTATGCCAATGCATTTGAGATTTTCATATTTCACTTTTATACAAGGATGGTATCGTGCCTTGTATTATACCTGTCCCAAGCCCCTTCTCCTTTTTCATCCAGTATTTTTTGTTATCTATGACTATGAGCGATTTCGAGCCTTTGATTTGACACCAAGATGACCACTGCATGGTAAAGTAAACACAGGAATAGAGGAAGAAAGAGGAATTCTTATAATTAGCTATAGAGACAGGTTTTGGAGAACAGGTCTAACTGGTTTAGGGCAGACCAATATGGAAGCTGAGTAAGTTACACAGGCAGCTTCCATAGTTTCAGGTATTCTTTGGAGTGGCACCTCAGCTGGTAGGGGTTCAAATCGCAACACAACCCCAAACCTCAATACTATGGTACAGAATAGTCTCACTTAATATTATTATACGAACACACCAGGGTATAAATTAATTTAACCATCAAAGATGCCCAACTCCAAACTAAGTGTAATTATACAGTGGAACGAGGTGCAGGTGAGGTAGCAAGGCAAAGGCAAAGTGAACATACTACACCATATATAACACTAAATGATTTCACTAAGGATTTTAGCAGGACTAACAAAATGAGGGGTGGTGTTGAAAATGCTGTTATTCTGTTCTTCTGTGTGGCAGTGAGATGATTGGAAGAAAAAGGCATCTTCTTGTTTAACTGGTTCAGGAGAGACTAATATCTGCATAGTTATCATGACACCTGTACAATGGGAAGAACATCTTCTAAATATTATTTGACTGAGTGAGTATTTCATATGGACACCTTGAGCACCACAGAATTCCTGGAACTAATGAGATTCGTGGAGGAGCAATATCATACGGTGGATGATATCAAGCTGATTTTCATTCTCCCCTTGACTATTTCCACTTTCAGCTTCCCTACTGCTCTCTCCAGCTTGAGCTTCCCCACTGCTCCCCCCAGCTTGAGCTTCCCTACTGCTCTCTCCAGCTTGAGCTTCCCCACTGCTCTCTCCAGCTTGAGCTTCCCCACTGCTCACGCCTCGCCCAGCAAGCTCGTTGCCACTAAACGGTTCAAGGGGTTTGAAGGCCCACCAGGGAAAGAGTCCGAGCGTAACAAAGATAGTTATTGCCCCAAGTCCGACTACTGAAGGGTGATAAAACCGCTGCACAACAAGCAAAACTGCACAGTAGAACACAAAGAGGGTAGCTAGTTACCCTCGTTTTCCTGGACATGCACAGAAAGCGTAGTTATTATTATACTGTGAACAAAAGAATCATTATGCCACATTGAGGAAAATGAGAAAGAGTTTATATTTAAAGAGATGTCAGCCAAGATGCAGCAACAGACAGCTCCAAAGCTACCCAGACGGAGGCTAAGCAAATGTGTGGGCTGACCCATGGCCAACTCCTGAAAAGCTATTATCCGCAAGTTGACAACATGAAAGTGCAATCTCTTTTTATTATGTCATCCTCTGGATTCTTTTGCATAGTAGATGGAATTAGCTGAGTGCAGACCCCAAATTTTACATAGCGACCAGGGATACAGCAAGTTATGAAGCACAGGCAGGAATCATTGTAAATCACTGCTAATATGAAAAGCACTGAAGTGCAAACCCTCGGCGCACTGTGACGCGCACGCGTAAGTAAACGCATGCGCCGTACCACTAATTGATGGGCTGGGTTTAGTTTTAGCTGTTACTCGCGGTCTCTTGCCAGCTCGCGCAGAGTTTGACGCGGGCTAACTACACTACTAGATAGCATGCGAGAGGCGATACACGCCCTGCGTTGCATCTTCTGGTGCCTCCGAGGTACGCAGAGCACGCGGATCGATCAGACCGCGGTAAGCCGTCCCGTCCGTTGTGTATTTGCATATTGGCTTTTTCGCGCTCTAGCTTTGCAACGGAGCAGTTTCAGAGAAAACCCCACAAATTTTCTGACCTTCGTTGCCCGTTGAGTAGGTCGTATCCTTTGTGAGACGAACAAACACCCGAGAAGTGAGATTGAGAGTAACAGACAGACACACACGCACACACACACACAGACAAACGTAACCCTCGCTGCGCATGCGCGCCGAGGGTTAAATATAATATGCTATTCTGTTCTTGTTCTGTCTGACAGATTGACCATTGGAATGGAGGAAGAGAGAGGCATTTTCTTGGTTTTGGAAACAGGTCTAGGAGAGTTTAGGAGAGGCTATAATTATCATGACACTATGATTAATGACGGGAAGAACGTCTTCTAGCTAAACTATGGCTGAGTGAGTGCTTCATATAATTATATGGACACCTTGAGTATATAGCTACTGCATAATTCTATATGTATATATGTAATGTCAATTAACTCCAGAATCAACAGTTAACTATGACAACCGACTACTTTAGCATTATTCAATACACCTAATGTATATCCCCACTGTGTATGTAGCTAGCTAATAATCATCCTTTTAGTTCATGATGCTTAATCTTTTTATTCCTCTCGATATCCGATGGAGAATTGGTGGAGCAATATCATACGGTGGATGTTATCAAGCTTAATATCTTCATTCTCCCCTTGATCATTTTCATTGCTCCTGCCTTGCCCTGCAGGCTTGAACCTTTCAAGGGGTTTGAAGGCCCACCAGGGAAAGAGTCCAAAAGTGACAAAGATTGTTATTGCCCCAAGTCCGACAACTGAAGAGTGATAAAACCGCTCACCCCGCAGGAAATCAAAAGTGGTGTTCCTTTGGTTGGTTTCATGAAGACTTGAAACAATGGCTACTATTACCACGATAATCAAGACTGAAATCCCAATTTGAAAACAATGTATAATGCGAATGAAGAACACGGACCTGTCCGGTGCTCTAACTTTCTTAGAAATAGCGAGGAAGACGGTGAGCAGTGAAATAGTCGCGAATATGATAGTTTTCATGGTACCGTACGCCACACCGAGGGCAGGGAGGGGACTGAGGCGAGCCAGATAGCAGATTACTTCGAGATCGTAGGTACTGTCATTGAGGATCAGATATTTCTGGACTTCCTGGCACGGGACGGCCTCTCCCTCCTCCTCGTCAATGATCTCTTGGACGTCGGGCGGGACGTCGGTGGTGGAGAGAAGGAAACAGCGCGCGTCACTGTCTCGCACGTTCAGGTCGAGGCAGGTCCCCGTCTTGCGATAAAGAACGCCATCCGAGAACACGGTAGCGAACCAGAGAACGGCAATACTGCAGAGGAGGATGAAGTAGATGTGTACCCACACCCTGGCGAGTCCATTTTTCAGTTTTCCCGTGAAAAACTCATCACCCAACTGCTCATTTCCGAGAAACACTATGTTCACCTTTTCCTCGCTTCTCTGGGAGAAAGCTATGGCGGACGTGAAGACATTTTCGAACAGGGGGCGTAAGAGAGAAAAGAAAGAGTTTTTCTTCCAGTGTGCCAGCAGGATGACGACGAAAATGATGGCAATGGTCGCAAAAACGATGGAGCAAATGACCAAGAAGAAGACGAGCTCCGTGAAGGCGTATGCAGTTCTTGATGTCCACTCCAGTACCATGATTCAGTTTGTCGAATGTAAGAAACAGCAACTAGTTCACTGACAAAAGTTCTCTCAGCGCAGGCAGTTGCAGATACGCCCACTGGCGCTTCTCATGTTTATGCCAATTGCGCAAGCCGCTTGGGAGGTGCGCGCATCACATCACTATGACTTAACCAACCAGACGCATAATGACCGAGAGGGTTAGATTGTGCCAGACTCACATCAAGACTGAGAGAGACCTCGCCGAGGTAAACAACAACAACAACAGTAATGTAAACAAAGCAAAATGTTCTGATGCACATAGGCTGCTCAGGCGAGGATCGAGAGGAAGAGTGACAACCGGGGGTGATGCAGCGATAGTTGACTGGGTGGATGTATGGCCAGGGGCAACAGGAGCAACCAGCCAGAGAGGTGTATTGGTCACTTCTTGGTCTCTTAATGGAGTGTGTCAGTACGTACAAGGGTTAATTTTTGAAATGTTATATACTAAAGAGCGCACTAAAGAACAGGGCCCAATGAAATAATGCAAATTAGGTTTCCGCTTTTAGTAAAATTGAATACTGCCACATTCCCTTTAATATATATTAATAAGCACAAAATCGGATAGCATACATTATCTCTCAGTTTAATGTTGGTATATATACAAGTTCTATGATCAATTGTGCAGGGAAGATAGCTATCTGTGTTTACCGGCATGATGAGCTAAGTCTGCTTTCAATGAGTGCCGTTATAAATTCTAGCTATAGCTAAATGAATGAACACTCAAAACAGCGCATGTAGTATTATCAGAGCATTGGTATAATTATAGAATATGCTCTATATGGGAGTGAAATCTCACGTGATGGCTCCAAGAACGCAAAACCAAGTCACTGACTCTAATTGTTATTATTCATAGTTCATTCATCGCATTCCACTATCCACCACCTTTGAACCTTCAAAATAATAATTATAATAAGACACAGCAAACATTATCGTAACAGTTGTTCCAGTACTCTCTATTGTCAAGAGTTAGCCGTGCACTGCACTGTTCACTTGAGTTTTTCGGTACCTGATGGAAAATTGGTGGAGGAGTATCATGTTGTGTATGGCGTCACGTAAATCTTCTCCTTCAAAGCAATCGTCGTCTTTGTCTGCCTCACCTTTCTTGACGTCCTTAGTTAGCTTTATTGCTCCAACTGGTAGGAGAGGCTTGAAGGCCCACCAGGGAAATAGTCCAAATGTGATGAAGATTGTTATTGCCCCAAGTCCGACGACTGAAGAGTGATAGAACTGCTCTCCTTTCAGGTAATCAAGTGCAGTGTTCCTCGAAACGCTCGATTCATGAATACTTGAAAGGACAATCACCATTATAACGATAATCACTAGGGAGATCCCAATTTGAATGCCGTGGATGATGCTAATTGTCTTTAGATGTCTAGAGGGTGCATCAATCTTCCTTGAAATGGCAAAAAAGACGAAGCCATAGCAAAGACTATCGTCTTCATGGTACCATAGGCCACACACCAAGAGCTGGCAGGGGACTGAGGTGGGAAATGTAGCACGTGACCCTCAGATCATACGTAGCTGCTGTTGATGATGATGAGATAGTTCCGCACGCGCTGGCAAGAAACGGCCTCTCCCTCTTCATCGTCGATTATCCCCTGCAGATCCGGCGGGATGTCGTCATTGCTAGGTAGCAAGAAGCAGCGAGCGTTGCTGTCTCGAACGTCCAGATCGAGGCAGGTACCGGTCTTGTGGTAGAGGACGGCGTCCGAGAACACCACGGCAAACCAGAGAACGGCGACGCTGCAGAGTAGCGTGAAATAAACGTGTACCCAGACTCTGGCGCCAGATCTTCTCAGTCTCCCCCTAAAGTATTTGTCATCTTGCTGTATTTGGCCAAGGAACACTATCTTTATATGTTCATCGTCGTTGTGCGAGAATGCTATCGCTGTTGTGAAGACGTTCTCAAACAGCGGGCGCAGCAGGGAAAAGAAAGTGATATTCTTTTTGAAGTGCAGCAGAAGAACCACAAGCACGATGGCGAAGGTGGTGAAGATAATGAATGAGACAGATGACGAGGAAGAACACGAGCTCTGTGAGGGCGTAACCGCTTCTTGTGGTCCATTCAAGTATCCGGCGCGCAGCCGAGAATTCTAGCACCAACTGCCTGAAGTCCTCAACCACGCGGTTCAAGAGCTTTCTCCAGTGGAAGTATAGATACTCGCTAGTACTCTGTTTTCATAGAGTCGCACTGGTGAAAGTTCCTGAACCGGTTGGCCTAACATGATTACACACACAGCGCGCATGCGTACGCGCAGGCCTTGTGGGCGGGCGAGCTTGCCTGCAACAGTGTATACGTACGTCGTCGCCAGCTATTTAGACATTCCGTCAGGTAAACCTGGCCTCGTATTACCGTGTGAAATCCCCAAGATGAAGTTCGTACTGTTGGCAGCGTCTCTAGCCGTGATTTTGTGCGTGAGCGCTCGCTCTTTCCCATTTCCTGGAGAAAGCAACCGAGGAACCGGACAAGGATGGGGTAACGCTGAAAACGAAGAACAGGTGAGTAAAATGATTTTCAGCCAAGTGAGAATTATAATGAGTAAAATAATACGAATAGAAATTTGATGGTGAGGCTCAGTGGTCTAGAGAGCCCGCAGCAGACTCGCAAGAAGAATGGCCCACCAAAGACAGGTTCCAGGGCCGCGAGATGGAAGAACCGGAGTGGGATAACAACGACCGTCTCCAAAACAAATTCGAAATCAAGAAGCAGCAGTGGCTCGCGCAGCAGTTGGCGTACGCTCAGTCCGTTCCTCAGGGAGGTTTTGCAGACATGAACGAGGAGGATGACGAGCCTTCGATGCTTGGACGTGAGAATGAAGTGGAGTTTCAGCGGAACCAGCTCGCGGCTAATGAAGCGGAAAAACACGCAGCGTTTCAGGATAATTTCTGGGGCAACAATGAAGCTAACCAGAACGATTTCGATGAGGACAGTGTAAACCTACAAGAAGACCGGGGACCTGACACAAATAAAGAATTTTCCCCTGACGATATCATGATCCAATTCTTCAACTCTCCTGGCGACCCTGATGATGCAACTCTGCAAGAACCAGATTGGAACGACCGAGATTTCTTGAAGGTATATATATCAGCATGTCATGTCAGCCATCGCGTTTAGCTATAATTGAATTTCTATTATGATATGCAGGAAGAATATGACAAAGGATTGATTCAGGAAACTTGGGATAATGCACACACTTCTTGGGATGAACTGATGGTAGCTATAATAATTATTATTATAACACAAATTATTCCACAGTTCAAGTTATATTGTTGTTTGTGTAATACCATAGGAACAGATGCGTGAAAGTGACCAAGAACAAGATAAGCCTGCTACTTTCAATGTGAGTTTCCCTTAGCAGAGAGAACATCGAAGTGCGATATCTAGCAAAGGATTGTGTTTCTTTCCTCTATGCTTACATAGGGCTACACATTCCACACTGTACGAAGAAACGAAAGTAGCACCGCATAGCATGCAAACTCACGCGGGAAATGCGTGTTGTAGAGGAGGCATGGGAGCTAGAGAGCTATGTACTGCCGACAGTCTTAGGTGAATAATATACATGAGATGAAGGTTAAGCCTTAGTGGTCCAGCACACTTAAATATTTTCTGCCCTGTCTGCACTATGTCTGAGTGCGTATGCGCTATGGGGTCATAGAGATATGACCACAGATGTATTCGTGTCATTGGAGTAAGCTAAAGATCACACACAAAATAGTTTACATAAGTGGAGGGGGTCTGGGAATGAGAAATGTTACCAGATTGTTCGTTATAAGCTGGAGAGCCCACGCATAATACAACCCCACTGTGGAAGATTTTCACAAACAACAATTTGTCCACCCATTACTTGGCTCAATTTCTATGGATATCATCCTCCTCCACAGCATAATTATCTCCTACACTTAAGAATTAGCTCAAGTTCTAAGTAGTATTGGTGATCCTCACAGCTTTTCTCACCCGCATGAAATTGTGTGTATAGCTATAGCTTATTATTGTTGTGCTACATTTGATCAGGAGGATGACAGTAATCGTGTTCCACTGGGCCCAGAAGTATGTGTTGAGATGAGAAAGCGACTGACGGAACGAAGGAGCAGAACCACAAATGAGCTACCAATGCAAACACGGCTCGAATACCAGTCGAGAGGGCAGTTAGGGGTTAACCAGAACAAACCGTGGATCCATAAACAGGGGGACGGGTCCAGGAATGATGACGTCGACGAGCAGAACATGTGGCAGCAGGAAAACGGACGCAGAAATGATGATGTCTTATTCGCCCATAAACAGGGTGGATGGGAGCAAGTTCGATTCATGAGTGACGATATGGGCGAAAAATTGATGCAGATACCAGCAGATGAACCCAACGAACAGGACATGTGGCAGCAGGAAAATGATGATGACTTAGTCCGTGAACAGGGTGGATGGGACCAAGTTGGATTCATGAGTGACGATATGGGCGAAGAAGGGATGCAGGAACCAGATGAAGTTAACCAACAGGAGATGTGGCAGCAAGAAAATGATGATGACTTAGTCCGTGAACAGGGTGGATGGGACCAAGTTGGATTCATGAGTGACGATATGGGCGAACAAGGGATGCAGGAACCAGATGAAGTTAACCAACAGGAGATGTGGCAGCAAGAAAATGGATTCAATGTGGAGAAAGAACGGGCACGGCAACAGATGGAAAATGGGTTCCGAGACAGAGATACCAATGAGCAGAGGATGTGGGGAGAGGACAATAGGTTCTCAGAAGAGCAGCAAGTAGGAAGGTTCGATATGGACAAACGAGAGATGCAGCAACAAGACGATATCAACAAACGAGGGATATGGCAACAAGACAATGGATTTACCAAACAAAATGGCTTTGTCAATGAGCAGGATATATGGCAACAGGAAAATGGATTAAATGCTAACGAACAGGGGGCGTGGCAAAAGTGGGTGGTCCAGAATTCAAGGATAATGTCAACATGCCGGAATTATTGAAGCAGGAAAGCGAGCTAAGGGATAGTGAAAAAGACAAAGATCCGTGCCAAGACGTTACCGTAAGTATTGCTCTCTATCTGGTGTTACATACAGTAGGTAGCTACTTAGCACTATGTGAGTGGTTACTCACGTCATTTCACCTGCATAACTTATGAAATTCAATATGGAGAACTATGGGGCAGTGGGGAATTTAGGAGGATGCACGGTAAGTGGAATTTGAGTGGTGTGTTGTGAGTTGTAGGAGTGTGATATTATGCAGCAGAATGGGGAGATGACAAATGGATCCAGTATCAACACATATCCAGCTCTGGCTGTCATGTATAATAATAATTATTACTTACATGGCTAGAGAAAAAGTGTGCCACATCAAGTAGTATCACTAAATCTACCCAAGCAGCAGCCCTCAAATCAGTCAGCTATGTTGAAGGATCGTGTATCACCAGTTCTTCGCCACTACAGTGCGGTGGAGCCTTATTTGTAAGCAAGCCTATTCACCCATGGTGGTGTGTCCCATAAAAATTAATTACGACATGTAGCTACTGTGTGCTGCTTAACCTCATGCATGAAACTGACCATAGTGTACAAGTGGATCTCTTTTTATGCGCAATATGCCTCATGCTAAATCATACCACAAAAACATGCACACTATCTCTCTGAGTGTCAGGGACAATAAATACTGTTTCTTGTATTGCAATACTACTGTCACATAAGGCCATGATTTCTATGAATGATACTTAAAAAGTCACCATCACCTCGGGTGGTGAAAAACTTGGGGAAATCATATTCACCCCCCACATGCAGGGAGAGAGAGAACGAGTCAATTGTGACATTAAAAATGCAGAAAAGCGGATGAGTGAGTTGGAAGCAAAGCTAGAAGAACTGGAAAAGAAAGAAACAGAGCAGGCAAACCTAACAGAGTGCGAGACTGGAGAAAGTATGTTATTTCCTTATACTTCTCTGGGGTCTACTGTGTGGACCCATGGATTATTCCCATCTTCATCTGCCCCCATTGCCTGGTGTGTGTGTAAACTGACCATACAGTTGGTGGAGCGTAGAGTAGAACATCATGTAGATTCCTCTGTTTGAATGAAAACCACCGCCCTTGCCTCTTTTCTGTCTGAAACGTTTTATACTTGTAGCTAGCTACAGGGGTTTAGCTATGCCCAAAATGTATATAAACCAGCTCATATGGTGCTCCCCACTCTCATTGGTGTTCATTATCCCCTTGTTTCTGATGCAGAATGTGCCAATCCATGTGAGTGTGTCACGTGGAACGAGAAGGATGAGTGCATCGAAAAGGAAGCGGAAAAGTGCTGCAACATTGAGTACGACCCGTCGTGTAAGGCAGGCAAGGATAACGCAAAGACAAAGACGGAGGAAGAGATCAAGGAGGTGTCTGATAAGCTGGAAACCTTCAAGAAAGAGCACGAGGGGCTGATCAATAAGCTCGTTGAGCTTGACAAAGCTGCACTCCACCCATCGGAGAAGGGGGCCGAGTAAAATAATTGTGGAAAACTTGAATTTTTGTAGCCTATATAGTAGTTTAGCTTGTTGCTTGTTCAAATCAACAATACGCATGCGCTATGCGCAGTTACACGGTTAGGGCGCCGCGCGCGCTCACCGTTACGCCGCGCCTCTCTCGCACACTGTGCTGCACTGTGTGTGGCGCGGAGGTCCGAAAATCACGCATCGTCCAACTGCGCATGTGCGGGGAGCCGCACGCAAATGCCCCGCGCCGCGCTCCAGGGTCCAGAGAGTCCAGACTCGAGCAGCCCCGCCCCCCCCGGCCGGCCAGCCAGCTGACTAGCTCCCCGCACGGCCCCCGTACTCAGCTCTACGCCACAGGATGGGCGCGCGCCGCCAGAGCCGATTACTTCCCAGTCGTCGCCGACAGAGACTGGCGCAGCCCGCAAATGCGCTGGACTCGCAATCACTCTGTTGTTGGTAACGGCGGCGATCTTCGGCAGCTCACAGGCCCTCGCCATCGAGCGCAGACCCGAAGACGCCCTGCTGGACGCATGGCTGCAGGAACAGATGGAAGAGGTCCAATCCTCCCCTGAATCAAACGTATGTAGCTAGTTTTTGGCGACCATGTTCTGTATAGATATTCCTCTTACCCAGGCCGCCGCGGACTTTGGGGCCCCGCTAGGCGAAGACCTGGGCTACGCCACTCCGGGTCACGCAGAAGAACACGATGACATGACCGCCTTCTTCGATAACCAGGACCACGATGCCGTAAACTAACTCTTCTCTTACCGTGCTGTAGCTACTCCATTTACAGTTTGCAGACACTGAAGACAACGCGGGACACCACACTAACCCCCAGATCGAAAAATATCTCGCGGATTTCTTCGGGTTTTCCGAAACAGTAAGGCTGACGCAGTAGTTGGCGTAGCTATAACACTGGGGCACTGTGTTTTCCCTACAGACAGCACAAGGAGGAGACACTCAGCCTGACACAGTTCTAGAAGGCTATCCAGTATGTTACTCAGTGTAGTTCTTCTTATGCAATCTGATTGCCATCTCTCTCTCAGTGGGCTGTAGATTCTCCTGTTACGAATCAGAGAGTTCCTTCAGGACCATCTGCAGACATGGCAAACTATGTGGCCAACTATTTCAACAGACAATACCCGAGTACAGTGCAGGAGACTCCTGAAACCGTGAGATGTGTTACATGCATTGACTGAACTTGCGTATATATAGCATCTGAAAACCCCAGAAGCATAACACCTGTTGACAACAGTTTTCTTTCCGTATACCGTTTATTTTTTATTTCAGTGGAGAAAAAACGGAGTAGATCAGCAGGGAGTTTCTTCGCCAGCAGATATGGCAGATTATGTGGCCAACTATTTCAACAGGCAACACCAGCAGAGCACTGTAAGAGGAAACCCCTGAGACAGTGAGAAATAATAAACACAAACTGTTTCGTGGCTACAATGTATAGAGCAACATGCCCACACTTGCTTACTGGTCAGAAGCCTAATAATTATTATATAACAGTGCACCTGTTGTTGGTGCTTCCAGGTGCCCACTTGTTCTCACCACAGCCCTTATGGCTCCACTTTAGTGTATTTCCTGTCAGACTAGCTCTCCTATCACAACAGTATTGGTTCATTAACCCTCAGCGAGCATGCGCAGCGAGGGTTACTGTAGTCGTTCTGTCTGTCTGTCTGTCTGTCTGTCTACGACTATTCTCGCACTACAGGCAACGAGGCGGCTTATGAGCGATACCAACAGCTTTAGCGGTACATGGGCTAGAAAAATAAAATGGAGATTTTGCTGAAACGACTGCGTTCGAGAGTGACAAACTGGCACGGTCGCGGACAGCGTTGCGTGGCCCAACCCATCAATAAGCGGTGCGCATGTGTGTATTAGACGCGATCAACGCGGTATGCTGGCTCACCATGACCTGATCCGCTTGCTCTGTGTACCTTAGAGGCTCAAGAAACCACAGCGAAAGATGTGTATCGACTCCCACATGTTATCTACTACTGTAGCTAGCCCGTGTCAGACTCTCTGCGAGCTACTAGTGGGAGACCGCGAGTAAACGCCAATAGCCCAGCCCATCCATTAGCGGTACCACGCGTGCGCAGTTCGCCGATGGTTTGCACTTTAGTGCTTTTCATTCATACAGTAGTGTATGGTGTGCTGACTCAGCATAAGAACTACATGTACTGTCTTAGTGCTGAGTTAGCGCGCCATACACTACGATATGAATTATTAATGAGCAGCAGCTTGCTGAGCTGGCGCGCGCGTATGGCAGAAACAAGATCAGATCATGCACACGGGAGCTGCGGCCCCGATCTATCTTTGGTAGATCTGACCCACACACATGGCTAGGCAAACACCATGCCTCGGGGAAGACGGTAGCGCTTGTCAAGGGGAACGTGGCAGTGGAGCAGGTCAGGCGACGCGCTCAGAAAGCTTTGGCAGAAGTCGGTAGACGGGTGGTCAATGACGGCGTTTGACCATGCCATGGGGAGACTGTAGCACGCGGGTCTATCACCGGACGCGCTCATCGAGGTCTACTCTGTGTTACCAGGCAATGATAGCCCCGCTCGGCCCCGTAGCTGGAAAACGGCTCACTTTTGGCAGCTTGTTCGGCGATTGCAGTCAACAGCCAGCGCAGTTTGCGACCATGCACCAGTCCATCGGCGAGTAATAACAACAGCGACAGAATAAGCCGACAATGGTTAGATGACCGAGTATGCTTCACTGGCTCGACCGCAGTCCGCTCTAAAGAAGAAAGGCAGCTCTGGCCACTTCTTCCTCGGTCTCTGCACGCGCACATCAAACCACTTCTTCTGTGGTACAAACCGGTTACACTACGCCCACTCGGTGGTTTAGTGTATATCCACTAAACCGACTAAACCGCCTCGTGGGTGTAGTGTAACCTATATTTAGAAAACTCTGTGCTGTATTGACCATGCTCTTGTTAGTTGTGTGGCCACACAAGCGTGCCACGTGTAATAGCATTTTATTTACCCTCAAATTTTGGTTTGTTCCACCCTTTCCACCCACACTAGGGCTATGGAAATCCTGTACTTGCAGCTACAGTCGAGGACGGAGGCTACCCTGTGCTTGCCAAGATGAAGGAGAGCAACAGTGACGATAATGATGGGAACATGCAGAAAGATGTGGTCGGTGGGGATGGTGTTAACAACTACTTTGAATCTTTTGGAGACTGGAGTCAGTGGAGTGACTCGGTTCAGAGGGACACCACTTCTCAAAACCTTCCGGTGCCTGAAAATCATTATGTTAGCACATTGTTTTTACAGCTTCACTTGCTTATGTTTCACTTGAACGATATATTGCATTGCCCTGGTAGCTCAGCTGGTAGAGCGCTTGCCTAGAGTGCAGAGTGTCGTGGGTCCTAAGGCAGCTCCTTTTTCCTTGGAAAAAGTTTTCCGTGTTGTCTGGTTTACTTAATGCTTTGAGACCTCGTTGACACATTCACATTCTTGATTAGAGTGTGTGAAAACCCTGTCTTCTCTGTTTGGTGTGTGCCTTTGCCTAAGGTTGCTATGTGCTGGTTTTGCTTGTTACAGTCAGATGATCTGGAGCTGTGGTTCCAGGCTATGAGAGAACCCAGTGATGACGGCGAGGAAGTGGAGGAGGACATGGAGGAGGACGTAGACACTTCGAAACTGAATGTGAGCTCCAACCACACATGTCGCACACACACACACACACGCACACACACACACACACTCTCGCAGCCTGTGACTCCATACTGTGTGCAGTGGATTCACCTTCTTCATGACAGTGTGTACAAAAGCACCCTTGCCCTGTGTTCTCTTGTTGACCAGGTGAACTTTATGGACGACTACCCGGAAGAGCTTTTCTCAGAGGCGCATGCTGCAGGCTATGATGCAGATGGACCCAGAGTGTCTGGAGTGGAAGGAGAAGATGGAGAGGGGTTACCAGACTATGAGAGAGCATGGTATGAGGCTGCAGAAGAGTCTGGAGGTCTACCAAAAAGCAATGGATGACTACAAGCCAGGAAAGCCGTGCCGTGTAAAAAAGATTGTCCTATGAGTGAGTATAGCAATATTATGCGTGGTGTGCCCTTGCTATGAGTAACATAGCCTCTGTTTTGTCATACTGTGTGCATCCTAAGAATTGTATATACTATGGCTGCTGTTTGACACTCTGTTATGTCGGTGTGCATTAAGCTTCAACACCCTCAATTTACCATACCCATTATTTGGAGCCTTTGTGTTGTACTGTACTGCTTTAACCCCTCTTTTTGCTGAGCTGTGGGAAGAACATAATTCGAAATGCATTGGCCACAGCTCTTTTCTTGCTGAAGTTCCGAACTTCTGATTCAGAGGGGATTTGCATGTCTCTTGTATTACAGATTGCATCCCTACGGTGGTTGAAGGGGCGTGCAACATCTGGTTGAAGGGAAAATGCAAGTCTAGAGTTTCGAAAATTGTTGACTGTGGCAGGTAGGCAGCGGAAGTGTATATAGTGGTAACTGTATGCACAGTGTGTAGCACAGTGTGTATGGAAGTATAATTATAGCATACAACAATGAGCAGTGAGAATGATAGATGCTGAGTTCACAGTATATTGTGTGTGTGTGTGTGTGTGTTGGTATGGGTAAGAGAAAGGAGGGGGAGAGTTGTGGGGAACGAGGTGTAGGGGGACTTGTCGGCGTCATCAAAGCACCGGGCCACCAGACATACACTCAGGCTATGCATGGAGTTACAAACCGCAGTGTGCTTCCACATTATTTGGTACATGTGCCCACTACCTATCCTCAAACCAAACAGCTAGCAAACCCTGTGTCTCTGTCTTGTTTGTCTGTCATCTATCTAATGCACCAGTCATCAAGTGAGCTCCTCAGCAGATCATCGTGCATAGGTCACAGGTTTCGGTCCCTTTAATCTCCCGACCTGTGCCTCACTACCACTGGGGCGGGACCACTCCCACGTAACGGAGTCTGGTATCCGCAGTCCTGTCGGTTTGTCTTGCTTACCTATTAGTTTGTCATGCTATAGTTCAGTTTGTCCATTTTTCTAAGTCCTGTTTTAGGTTGTGACGGTAGAAGACGGTAGTATGCATGCACAGGAAGTTTACCTACACTGATACTGCCTTGTTGTGACAAGATTAGACAAGATACCTGCCTTGGGTCCCACCTGCTGGCATCTTCTTACAACCACACAGAGTACCAATAATTGCGCGAGCGGGGAGTATAACAATAATTGTGTGGGCGGCTGAGCATGCGTGTGGTTTTTTACAAAGGGGGATTTTTTACTGTGTGTGCATGCGTGGGTGCATGTGTGTAAGAGTGAACCTCAGTGTGGGTAGTATGTGAGCTATAGCTATATAGTACATAACCAGCATTGGCCCGAATATACAGTCAGAGTAAGTTGTAGTATTGAGTGCCATGTACGTATGTCAATATGCAGACCCCTCTCTTCCTTCTCTTTCCGACAGAAAGCAACGTGACCCAGGCTGCGAGGCAGAAGAGGCCAGGTGTAGGAGCCAGATACTGCCACTGGTGGAAGAGATGGAGAGAGCAAAGAGGGAGGTGGACCGGGCCAAGGAGGAGCTGGACACAGAGGCCAGGAAGAGAGAGATAGAATGGAGAAGTTCCCACAGCGTTGTCAGGAGAGTGCTGGAGGTGGCATTGTGGAGGAAGAAGAGGTGGAGAGGAAGGCATATATTGCAGAGTAGGGCAGGACATGCCTCCTGGAGTTTGAACTGAGTAGTGTAGGCTATATAGTAGCTAGCTATTAGTGAGAGTTTAGTAGAACATGTTGATTACTATGCGACAAAAAACCTTTTAAATGGTATATACTGCTGAGAAAGGAGAGGTTGAGGGTAGCTCGTCTTGTTGAGGATTGCAGCTGGAGTTCCAGGTAAACACACACACAGTCAGTGGTCTATGTGCGGGGAGACACTCTGCTCCACCAGGTAGGAGAGGCTGCGGCCATCCAGTGGAGCTCGGGGACCTGGATGGTGGAGTACGGTCGCGGTTTCATCCCCTCCACTCTGGGATTTGCCCTCTCTGAGACCGTACTCTGCACGCAGGACCTGTACCTCCTGTACAGGACACTCAGGATCTATACCGTGGCTCTTCTACAAGAGATGTGGTACAACGGAAACTTCTAGTCCATCACTATTGCTATAATTATAGAGTCGAGAGTATTTATTATGCACACATGGCCCGATGTTATTAATTAGATTTCTTGAAGGTATAGTAGAATGTCATGTCAGCCATCGCGTTTATAATTGACATTTCTATATGTATGCAGGAAGAATGAAAAGCACTAAAGTGCAAACCCTCGGCTCAAAATGTGCACGTTTGTTGTTTTGTAAGCTAGGTGGGCTGGGCAGTGCGTCGTCCAAAGGAGCCAGTTGTCGCCTAACACAGGCTAGGCTGCATCTCAGTGGGTAGTGGGTCTTGTCTATATTTTATTGATCGTGATATTGTCTCTCAATGCAGTCAGTTCAGCCTTTATATTGTTCTTGCTGAATACTCAGCACTTTTATGTCATTAAGAGATGCAGAGGGGGTGCAGGCACATTACCTTTCCGTTGCTACTTTCTTCTGGTCTAGTTTCACTAGCTACGTATGCGCAAGCTGCCTTACTCAACCTAATATGACAACACCATAATAACTTCTGTTACTTGCTGAAACATTTTACCTGTAGGTACGTAGCTATATTATTATCGCTGAGTTCTCGCTCCGCTCGCCCAAAGAATGCCATGCATTTCCACTAGTATATAGACGATTACCAGACGTTTGTGGTTGTCGTGTATAGAACAGCGTGCAGGACCTAGCTTAACTATACACAGTGAAGCGCTGTTTTCTTCGTCCGTTGCCTCGTAACGGTAAAAAGTTGGTAGAAAAATTCAGGAATACGAAAATGGGGAAAATATTTAGAGCTTGATCCGGCACGGGTGTTCATGGCCTTGAACGTGAAGTGCTACAAGTTATCTGCTGCAAGGTTGTTGTGGACTTGTGGCATGGCATGCATCGTCCAACTGCGCATGCGTTTTGATAATTGCCCCGCTCGGCGCTCCCCCTGCGGGCGCGTGCGCGACGACACACCGGCACCCGGCACCCGCTGCATGCCGGCCGGCCGCACAGACCGCCGGCCAGCGTCAGAGCGGGGGCGACGGGCGTATAAAAGAAGGTATATACTTCGCCAGTCATCGGCATTCTCCAGAAATGGCTGGACTCGCAATCACTCTGTTGTTGGTAACGGCGACGATCTTCGGCAGCTCGCAGGCCCTCGCCATCGAGCGCAGACCCGCAGACGCCCTGCTGGACGCATGGCTGCAGGAACAGATGGAAGAGGTCCAATCCTCCCCTGAATCAAACGTATGTAGTTTTTGGCGACAATGTTCTATAGCTATAGCTATTCCTCTTACCCAGGCCGCGGACATTGGAGCCCCGCTAGGCGAAGACCTGGGCTACGCCACTCCGGGTCACGCAGAAGAACACGACTACATGACCGCCTTCTTCGATAACCAGGACCACGATGCCGTAAACTAACTCTTCTCTTACCGTGCTGTAGCTACTCCTTTTACAGTTTGCAGACACTGAAGACAACGCGGGACACCACACTAACCCCCAGATCGAAAAATATCTCGCGGATTTCTTCGGGTTTTCCGAAACTGTAAGGCTGACGAGCTACCTACGTAGTTGGCGTGCCTATAACCGTGGGCACTGTTTTTTCCTACAGACAGCACAAGGAGGAGACACTCAGCCTGACACAGTTGTAGAAGGCTATCCAGTATGTTACTCAGTGTAGTTCTTCTTACACCCTCTGATGGCCGTCTCTCTCAGTGGGCAGGAGATTCTCCTGTTACGAATCAGAGAGTTCCTTCAGGACCATCTGCAGACATGGCAAACTATGTGGCCAACTATTTCAACAGACAATACCCGAGTACAGTGCAGGAGACCCCTGAAACCGTGAGATGTGTTACAATGCATTGGCTGAACTTGCGTATAGCTAGCATCTGAAAACCCAGAAGCATAACACCTGTTGACAACAGTTTTCTTTCCGTATACCGTTTATTTTTTATTTCAGTGGGGAGTAGATCAGCAGGGAGTTTCTTCGCCAGATTATGTGGCCAACTATTTCAACAGGCAACACCAGCAGAGCACTGTGGAGGAAACCCCAGAGACAGTGAGAAATAATAAGCACAAACTGTTCATCAGCTATAATGTATAGAGCAACAGCCCCACAGCTGTACTGGTCAGAAGCCTAATAACAGTCAGTGTATATACCTTCCAGGTGCCCACTTGTTCTTCCACAGCACTTCACCACTATACCACAGCCCATCAATAGGATTCCTCTGGTTTAGAAAACTCTGTGTTGTATTGGGCAAGCTCTTGTAAATGTGGCCACACAAACATGCCACGTGTAATAGCATTTTGTTTATCCTCCAAATTTTGGTTTCAACAGAATGTTCCACCCTTTCCACCCACACTAGGGCTATGGAAATCATGTACTTGCAGCTACAGATAATGATGGGAACATGCAGAAAGATGTGGTCGGTGAGGATGGTGTTAACAACTACTTTGAATCTTTTGGAGACTGGAGTCAGTGGAGTGACTCGGTCCAGGGGGAGACCACTTCTCAGAACCTTCCGGTGCCTGAAAATTATTATGTTAGCACATTAATTATTGCATTGTCCTGGTAGCTCAGCTGGTAGAGCGCTTGCCTAGAGTGCAGAGTGTCGTGGGTCCTTTTTCCTTGGGCGTCGTTGTGTTGTCTGGTTTACTTATGCTTTGAGACCTCGTTGACACATTCACGTTCTTGATTAGAGTGTGTGAAAACCCTGCCTTCTCTGTTTGGTGTGTGCCTTTGCCTAAGGTTGCTATGTGCTGGTTTTGCTTGTTACAGTCAGATGATCTGGAGCTGTGGTTCCAGGCTATGAGAGAACCCAGTGATGACGGCGAGGAAGTGGAGGAGGACATGGAGGAGGACGTAGACACTTCGAAACTGAATGTGAGCTCCAACCACACAAACACGCACGCACGCACGCACACGCACACACACACACACACACACACACACACAAACACACTCGCAGTCTGTGACTCCATACTGTGTGCAGTGCATTCACCTTATTCATGACAGTGTGTGCAAAAGCACTTGCCCTGTGTTCTCTTGTTGATCAGGTTAACTTTATGGATGACTACCCGGATGAGCTTTTCTCAGAGGCGATGCTGCAGGCTATGATGCAGATGGACCCAGAGTGTCTGGAGTGGAAGGAGAAGATGGAGAAGGGTTACCAGTCTATGAGAGAGCATGGTATGAGGCTGCAGAAGAGTCTGGAGGCCTACCAAAAAGCAATGGATGACTACAAGACCAGGAAAGCCGTGCCGTGTAAAAAAGATTGTCCTATGAGTGAGTATAGCAATATTATGCGTGGTGTGCCCTTGCTGTGAGTAACCATAGCCTCTGTTTTGTCATACTGTGTGGTGTGGTGTGCATCCAAAGAATTGTACTATGACTGCTGTTTCAATATGTCATACTCTGTGGTGTGGTGTGCATTAAGCTCCAACACCCCCTATTTACCATACGCACGATTTGGAGCCTTTGTGTTGTACGCTTAACCCCTCTTTTGCTGAGCAGTGGGAAGAAGATATATAGTTTTAAATGCATTGGCCACAGCTCTTTTCTTGCTATAGTTCCAAACTTCTGATTCAGAGGGGTTTGCATGTCTCGTGTTACAGAGTGCATCCCTATGAGGGTTGGAGAGGAGTGCACCGACATGGTGAATGGAACTTGCAGGTCTAGAGTTCCGAAAATTGTCGACTGTGGCAGGTAGGCAGCGAAAGTAGTGGTAACTGTATGCACAGTGTGTATGGAAGTATATAGCATTGAGCAGTGAGAAGTATAGATGCAGCTGAGTTCACCGTATGTAAGCGTGAACTTCAGTGTGGGTAGTATGTGACCTTTGACCATAGAGCATTGGCCCGAATATACAGTCACAGTCAGTTATATGGAGTGCTATGTATGTATGTCAATATGCAGACCCCTCTCTTCCTTCTCTTTCCGACAGAAAGCAACGTGACCCAGGCTGCGAGGCAGAAGAGGCCAGGTGCAGGAGCCAGATACTGCCACTGGTGGAAGAGATGGAGAGAGCAAAGAGGGAGGTGGACCGGGCGAAGGAGGAGCTGGACACAGAGGCCAGGAAGAGAGAGATAGAGATGGAGAAGTTTCCACAGCGTTGTCAGGAGAGTGCTGGAGGTGGTATTGTGGAGGAAGAAGAGGTGGAGAGGAGGGCATATTTTGCAGAGTAGGGCCTCCTGAACTTTGAACTGAGTAGTAAATAGTGTAGGCTAGTAGCTAGCTATTAGTGAGAGTGTAGTAGAACATGTTGATTACTATGCGACAAAAAACCTTTTTAGTGTGTTGGAGATGGTATATACTGCCGAGGAAGAAGTGGTTGAGGGTAGCTTGTCTTGTTGAGGATTGCAGCTGGAGTTACCTCCAGTGTCCAGAGAATTTTGTAGTGCAGTTTACATAATAACATGACACTTTCAATCAACCATGTCCACTTGGCATGAAAGCAGTCTCAGAAAAAAAACCTCAGCCAAATTACGATATGAAGTAATTTGCCGTGTATTTTTGAGCACAAACAAGCCCAAACCACTGCGTAATAATTATGCAGTCCGCGATGGTTGAACATTTTGCCGTTAGTTGGTCAACTCTTAATAAATAACAAGGCCAGATCAGGCCACGTGTGCATAATAAATACTCTCTATATGGCAATATAATATAGTGATGGACTAGAAGTTTCCGTTGTACCACATCTCTTGTAGAAGAGCCACGGTATAGATCCTGAGTGTCCTGTACAGGAGGTACAGGTCCTGCGTGCAGAGTACGGTCTCAGAGAGGGCAAATCCCAGAGTGGAGGGGATGAAACCGCGACCGTACTCCACCATCCAGGTCCCCGAGCTCCACTGGATGGCCGCAGCCTCTCCTACCTGGTGGAGCAGAGTGTCTCCCCGCACATAGACCACTGACTGTGTGTGTGTGTTTGTTATTGGGGAAAGAAGGAAGAGAGGTAAAGTGTAGGCAGGACTAAAGCTAGCGAGAGAGGGTGGGCGGCTTTTGTCGGCGTCACTGCATGCAGCCAGCCAGGTGCTTAGGCATGACTGGCAAGAGAAAGGGAATAGAATACGCAGAAAATAAAAGCTTCGTTTGTCAAGGCCTGAGGGGGGAGGTAGTGGGGAGTGGCAAAGGGTGTGGTTACAGTGTGTAAAGATGGGATATAGAGTGAGGTATATAGGTAGAGGGGGTGGAGTAGTGGTGGGAGCAATAAGGGGCGGGGAGTGAGAAAGATGTGGGGCAGGGGGAGAAAGGGTTATATAGGTAAATGGACTTCAATGATACACTGTTTTACTCCATTTCATGCTAGTAACCTCTGTGGTGCCTTCTTTCCACTGTCTAAACTCTCCTGATATGACAGTATCTGAGACATTGGCCCAGTATCGACCTGCAGTAGCAAGGTGCCACAGTGATACATTTCAGTACCTAATACATATCCAAAAAGCACACAGTCACAGGTATACCATAAAGTATAGCGATGATTATACTTGAAGGTAACTGTAGTATGAATCCTTTGTTTCAACTATTGATTCAAAACCAAAGTTATGTGAATGGTACACACTGGTGCATGATTATGCACATTTCAGCAGGACACAAAATTAAGTGTGCCTCTTCCGTACTGTGTGTGTGCTTGCTTCTATACTTTCTCCCAAGGTATGTATCAGGAGGAAAAATATATTTGTATACAAAATTCACTCTCCTGGAAGACAGCCAAGCATGACATAAGTACACGCTGCAAAAGCCTAAAAAAAGAGCTGAACCCATGGAGAGCTGCCCTAGCTCCCTGCATGTTTATATGACATTCTATGTATACATACACAAAGCACACGGATGCATCAACTCCCCACCCAGCCAGGATTCTCTAGGTTGGGTATACAGTATTTTGTGTGCGGTATATAGCTGCACCTCTGTACGATTTCTTTCATAACCTCCACCACAGACTATATACTTATCAACAGGCAAGTTGACAAGCATTATACCCATGCACGTGTACACGCAGTCATTACGCATACCAGAGTGTCCTGATGTGTCAACTGCAGTGCCAAAGAAGAGAACGTATTCTGTCAGTGATGCATGAAGTAGGTAGAATGACCCCATCCATCCTCCTGTTAGAGAGACAATCTAAGTATATGAACCCATGTAACCAACCTTTGGTGAGCGAATGTAACGATTGAAAGTTACACATGTAACAATAGACCATGTGATGCCAAGACAAAAAGATGGGGAGCTCTGGACAGCTGTTTCGGGCTTGTTAGCCCTCATCAGCAAAGCATACATGCACATTATGACATCACGTGGAGCATAACAGAAAGGATGGCAACATTGGAAGAAATCACGCAATTAACACGACTGTAGGTATAGACTTGCTATGGTAGCTTGTAAGTGGAGAGTAAGTAGAGGGTGTGGTTCATCCTGTGTCCAATACAATGTAAACAGATGACAATGTGCCTGTATATACCTGCATTTGCGCCATATATAGCTAATACAATAATTATTTTGGTGACCAGGGGCATGTAAAACTACTAAGGCATTGCGTCAGAGTAATGAAGCACAGGACTATTAAAACTTACAGTATATGCACCTGACATAGTAGTGAGCTTATAATAATAGTATATATACCATAGAACCTCCGATACATGACACTCCAAATAAAGACGCAATAGGTAAAGGACACACTTTGAGATCCCAAACTTTCACTTTTGAAGTACACCTCCAAAACCTCCTAATGCCTGGTTCCAACGTGACCATTATCAGAGGTTCCACTGTACATGTACAACAACTACTACATAGATATACTACTACAGTACTATCCAACTAGAAAAGACAGTGTTCCAGTAGACAGAGCAGGGCTCTACCTGCATTGATGAAGATCCACTCCATCTGGCTGGGAGGGAGGATGTGGGCTGGGTACCTGTCCCTTAGAACTGCCTCCACAGCACCAAACACCTCATCATGACCACCACCAGCTGTGAGGGAGGGAGAGAGAACCTCAGTTGTCAACTTAGGAATAGGGAGATGGTGCAACAGACAGTCAGACAGACACCTATTATCATGTCCCGAATTAGTGCAGTACAGTAGTAATTCTCAACAATTGTAGGTCGAACCATTTACAGTATTGGCATGTGAAAAAGCTAACCCATAAACTACACTAGCAATTGCTGTGCTTCCCCGGCCCCACCCCCATCAATGACCAGATACCCCCATGAAAAACACTCGGTTGTAAAGGAGCCCCGCCCATTTACATAGCTCCACATGGCGTATATACGTGTTTCATTGAGGACGTCAGTGGTTATTGAGGCGAGGTCCTCTGGAGTGAACACGTAGCTCTTCTCCCTCATCCATACCTGGATCCCTCCCACCAACACACCGCCCACCACTGCCAGCACCCCCGCGGACAGCAGCCACAGACTACACACCATCTTTGACGAAGTGCGCGCGGTTTTCTGGTGGGATAACGCATGCGCGTCATGAGCCGTGTGGGCGGGTCACTTGGGCGGGGGCGTTGGAGAGGGAGAACTAATGGATGCGATATTAGCAGCGGACGAAGGTGAATAGCTTTCCTCTATACTGTTAGAGATTTATTCTACTTGTCCTTATATTTTTGTCATGGCAGCAACTATATACCAATACGGTACTCTCACATGTATAGCTATACACATGATGCCATTACTCACCTGCTCTTTTTCCACTGCTATTTTCTCTGTCCAGCCTATGCTTGTATCCTGTCAGAGTTTATAGAGGTGGCAATCCATCTCGTGCTCTATGTGAGGAAGATATATCCACCAGGTTATACCATTCGTGATTATTAGTTGTAGAAATCCATTCGGAAAAGATCTTCCCCTTGACTGAATAGAAAACTACCACACATTTGTCCTGTGAAGATGGTCTCGGGACGAAGACTATACAGCAACGAATTGCATTACAGCAGAGTCGTCCCACACCCACCTTAGAGCCTTGCAAATATATTAGCAAGCTGCAAGCTGTAACAAGGTTACACAAACATTAGAGCCCCTGTCATTCTAAAGAGAGCTAGATCCATACCTAGACTCCGGATGTCTTAATTAATGTCTTGTATTGCTGCACCCACCTAAATAGCAAGCCCAGTCATGGGTGCCCAGCTCTATAGCCTCTCTCATTCATGGCCCCACACCCAACTTTGAGCTATGTGAATGTATTGAATTACTCCACCCACCTAGCAAACCATAATAGGGATAACCTTCAGACTCTCACTCCTAAGAGAAGTGGCCTGGTTAAACTGGAATGAGAGCTTTCAAATAATGTCTGTGAATAAATTATGGGAATGTGGAATTGTTTAGCCACATTTTTACGGCAAATACATACTAAGAGTTAGGTAATGCATTAATTATGGTGTCATGTTGATAGAGATGCATGCTCTTCTGTAGGATTGTTCCAGCGTAGGCGCAAGTATAATGTTCCAGTTCACATATGTGCTCATCCTGAGTTGAACAAGTACATCAGACGAGTTGTTGATGATGTCAAGCCAATGTTGGAGGCAAATCAGGTCGACCACATTGCCATTGTCATCAAGAACAAAGTAAGCTTATAGTTATTAGTTCACCAATGAATGTAACACACTAATCTATAATGTGTGTTTGTAATACTATTTCACTTCTCCTGCATAATTATTTCAGGAGAATATTCCAGTGGAAAGCTTTGTGTTCAAGACACAGAAAGGAACTGCTAATGACATCTGGTATATACAATGCATAGGCATGGTACAACCCTATTGAAAATCCTGTGCAATTATTGTGCGAGAGCTTGTACTGATAGCTAGTCCATGAGAGATGCGTGCAATGCACTTTAGGCAATCTTTATTACATGGAGCTTAAGACTAATAATAATATGAGACATGCACCAACATGCATGTTAGTCTAACGCAGAGAGTTGCTGTGCCGTGTTTGTGTCTTCCGTCTGCTTTTTGTAATCTGTTGCCAAACCATTAAACATAAATGGAGCAAGATACACGTAATTGTTCCAATTTGGGAGTATTATTCCATAGCTCCTAATGCACATTGTGGGTGTTTTCTAGTTCAAAGGGGTTCTCAGAGACACTGGAGAGAGATCTAAGAACTCTCTTACTGAAGCTCAGTGGCAGTGACTCCTTGTTGAGCGATAACCCACCAGGTAATAGCACAGGAGCCAGCTACGTATGTGCGGTACTGATGTGGGTAACCGCCTTTCTTTCAGACTCCACATTCAGTGTCGAGGTATGTACTTCAGATACGGCGGCAGCATCCGCTACTGTGGCCACAGAGCAGGGTCAACAGGTCAGTCGCAACCTCAGTCCAGCAGGGATTTAAACATACTGTGCACAGTTTGCCATCAAAATGCCAATCACTACAGCTTTATATACAACGTCCTACTTTGAACTAGCAAAATAATGTTCTCTAGACTTGTCTTCTTTATGGGTTACATGATCTAAGGTATATATCCAGCCAGCATATGCCCCATTGGGACTTACAGTGAGTGCATTATATGTATGCGTCTGCCTCAATGCATTCTTGCTATGGGTGTGTGTGTCTCAACCTAGTTATTTAATGGTTCACCTAATTACGGAGAAAGGAGAGGCTACACCTAGATACGGAACCTAAATATACTGTCTAGTATGTAGGCGAAGGCAAGGTATTTTTGGCGAGCGGGAGCAAGCACACAATGACTGTATCTGCACGAGTCATCCTAGCCTATTTACAACTTGCACCTTGGAACCACAAGATTGGAAAGAGGTACAGCCTCGGTCAGGCACCGAAGAGCGCAGCGAACAAATGGAGGAGAGTTCTCTCGGGCTGGCTAGATCACGTGTCAAGGGCGCAATGTGTAGGAATAATTTTCAGATAAAAGAAACGCATGATCCTGATGCATGTGTAGCACCCGTACTGTATGTAGACTATTTACTCGTCATTACGTAATCTTACCGTGTCATTCGTATATTATGCACGTGGAAAACAATGAGATGACTCAGCCAGAGTCGTAGAGAGATGAGCATTGCCACACGCAAGGCTGGTCGTGCCACACATGCGCACTTCCATGACGTACGGACACATATATGTATTATATATTATATTATAATATAGAAAAATCGTGTCGTTTTGACCACTAGGTTAGGTTGCTCCCGCTCACCAAATGCCACAAACAACTGTTGCAATTTTTGCCATGTGAAACAAGAGAACAAATCTATTGCAGGACTTTCCTTGGGTTGTGGAGAATGAGTCGGACATGGAGGAGTGCAGTGAAGGAAGCTGGAATATAGTGCCCCTAAAAACACTGTCAAACGACTTTATTAAGGTGCTAATAATACGTTGGGGGTAGGTTTGGTGAAGGGCATTATGATAATGCAGTCTTTCAGCAGTGATTAAGTATATGCAGTAGGGGAGGGGGTCAAGTAAGGTGATGATCAGCCTTTTTCAACAGTATATAATATGTAGCTACATGGGCCTCGAGCAGAGAATTGCATATCAGCACTTTTGCAACATTGAATGGCAGGCGTTCTCCTTCTGGTCTCCTATAGCTAAGTCTATACAGACGTGGAGGAGGCTGCACAGTGCCATTTACATATAGCACACAGAGAATGCATCTATAGCTTCTTAGATTTAACTATTTGTCCTTTCACTTGCTCCTGTAACGCATGTAGTGGACATAACGTGTGCAACTCGTGTAAACCAATGTTGAGCTACTTCCCAACTTTGAAATTAATTGATGTTGTTCTATTGCTTAGCTATATCATTTTTTCTGTAGGTATCGTTACTTGCCAAGGAATGTAAGTCAAACAAATCTAATTAACTTTTAATGCAATTCTGCAGTGGTTGTACACTATTATAATTATATTATGTGCAAACGAAGGACGTGCACAATTTTTTGAATGCGCATAAAAATTGACGGGCTGGGTCAGCCAGTGCCTATTATTGCACATTCCCTCTTTCTACGCCATAGCATACATCATTAATTACGTGTGTGTCAAAGGAGCCGTTCTAGCTAAGCTAAGCTAAGCTAAGCACGTAACTAGGGAGGGGAGTTGACTATTATCAAATGAAAAGCACTAAAGTACAAACCCTCGGCGAACTGCGCATGCGCGGTGGGCTGGGCTGGGTTTATTGGCTTGCGCTAGTAGCTCGCAGAGAGTCTGACACGGGCAAGCTACAGTAGTAGATAACATGTGGGAGTCGATACACACCCTTCGCTGTGGCTTCTTGTGCCTCCAATGTACACTGAGCAAGCGAATCAGGTCGAGGTGAGCCGCGTTGATGGCGTCTATACACGCATGCGCACCGCTTATTGGATGGGTTGGGCCACGCAACGCTGTTCGCGACCGTGCCAGTTTGTCCCTCTCGAACGCAGTCGTTTCAGCAAAATCGCCTTTTTGTTTTTCTAGCCCATGCTGTTGGTATCGCTCATAAGCCGCCTCGTATATAGCCTGTAGTGCGAGAATAGTCGCGGACAGACACACACACACACACACACACACACACACACACACACACAGACCAACTACTGTAACCCTTGCTGCGCATGCGCGCCGAGGGTTAATTAATGACAACAGCCAAGACATCTCTATAAAAGCCCACTTTGCCACACAATCGCAAGAGCGAGAGAGATGAAGTTAGTGGTTACGTTGGTGGTCTTCGTCCTTATTTCCAGCCTGCTCTGCAACTTTGTAGATGCCAGGCACCGCCACCGATCAAGTGGGAGGCGTATGTTCGGCGCGGCGGCCTCTACTTCGCAGGAACGGTCGCCAGCCAGCAACCGAAACCCCGTTGTGTCTGCGCCAGCCCCCTTAGTGGTGCAGCTACTTCCCGTTGCCGTTGAGCCCGCCTCGCCACGATCAGGCCGCCGTCGCCCTGCGCCTCAGTCCAAGGATAATTCGCGGATGCAAACTGGTACTAACACTGGTCGTCGTCCTTCTGGGGGCCAAGTTGTGTCCAACCCCTTTCCTCCCGCACAGCAACTTGTTCCACGATCAGGCCGCCGTCGCCCTGCGCCTCAGTCCAAGGATAATTCGCGGATGCGAACTGGTACTAACACTGGTCGTCGTCCTTCTGGGGGCCAAGTTGTGTCCAACCCCTTTCCTCCCGCACAGCAACTTGTTCCACTCATCATTCAGCTGCCTGCTAGCACCCGCAGTCGCGGACGAGGACGTGGTTAGCGCTGCAGATGTTGACCAACATTTCGAACAGCAACTTTGTGTGTAGTATTACCTCAGCATGAACTGTAATTTTGACAGATATACGTAGCTAGTGTTTCTGGTTTGTATGCAAGCGTCAATACAAATAGTCACAATAAAAAACACATGTTGGACAAAAAATAACGCAAAAAATAACGCGATTGACGTAGAGTATAATCGGACGCATTTGTGAAGTATGTGCAGGACTAGATTTTCTATTGTGTACTCTAAAGTGTAGTTCTTGGTCATAAATTTTTGTATAAAAATATTCGCTCTTATCCGAGCTTTACCGTGGGAATGACGTTGCCGTAAAGTTACGATTCGGGCACAGCAAAGATCGGACAAGCGCATCAATGGTAGGACAGTCTCCCAAAACGGGAACAGTATGAATGATCCAAGCGAGTGTATGCTCGATTGATAGCTGTACCTTTTGGCTATGCAGCGACCCACAAATGGCCCTTTTTTGTCTTCGCTCTTTTTGCTCACGAAAGCGCAAATAGGCGGGGTCGCGTAAGCCGCGTTTTACGCGAAAAGCAGTTTTCGGCTTGTTTCTTCTAACACACCCGCCGGATGAAGCTATAAAATTTTCTCCTCGTGCTTCTTGCCTTATATTAGATGCCTGCACCACGATTTCCGTTTTTGTAATTACCAATGAAAAGTTAGATCTCACAAAAACGGAAATCGTGGTGCAAGCATCTAGTATAAGGCAAGAAGAACGAGAATAAAAAATTTAGAGCTTCATACGGCACGTGCGTTAGAAGAAACAAGCGGCTTACGCGACCCCGCCTATTTGCGCTTTCGTGAGCAAAAAGAGCAAAGACAAAAAAGGGCCATTTGTTGGTCGCTGCATAGCCAAAAGGTACAGCTATCAATCGAGCATACACTCGCTTGGATCATTCATACTGTTCCCGTTTTGGGAGACTGTCCTACCATTGATGCGCTTGTCCGATCTTTGATGTGCCCGAATAGTAACTTTACGGCAACGTCATTCCCACGGTAAAGCTCGGATAAGAACGAATATTTTTATACAACAGTTTATGACCAAGAACTACATATTGGTAAACACAGTAGCCAATCTAGTCTTGCACAGACTTCACAAATGCGTCCGAGAATATATGGCGTCCGATTATCGGTGGCTTACTCTAAGCTCTATTGTCTTGCCATACCTGAGATGAGCGAGAGAATATGTGAGGGGGCATGGGAAAAGGCACCTATATGGCTGGAATGTGAAAATTAAGTTTTTGAGGGTGAAAAACCACAAAAACCTACTTTTTCACATTCCAGACATATTATATGTCCCTTTTCCCATGCCCCCTCACATATAGACATAATTAGGCTCCCCTGTCGCTTGACAGCCCGTGCGCAAGCGCGCGTTCTAGAGTACGTATCTACCTGTGAGCGCATGACACACTACGCGAACATCCCCCTGAGCTTTCTCTGTCCTTTGCTGAGAAAAACAGCCTGCTTTATCATGATCGCAAGATAATTAACCCTCGGCGCGCGAGTGTATGTAATCCAAACGCATGCGCAGTTGAAACATCGCGCCGTTCGGACCACTAGGCTATGGCCCGATATTGATATATCCCTCGTAAGAGTATTGTTTTATTAGCGAGCGGGAGCGAGCCAACCTATATAGTCGTCGCAACGGGGCCGGCCGATTATTTATCGTTCCTACGTCGTGTAAGTGCGCATGCGCGGCTTTGTACGCGCTTCTTTTTACACCTTCTGTGTCTCGCGATATGCGCCGATCGATCTAGCCAGCTAGAGAACTCTCCTCCATTCGACGGCATGCGCTGCAACCTTCGGTGACTGACCGAGGCTGTATATATACCCTTCATGGCTCCAAGGTGCAACTTGCAAAAACGTACGCTAGGATTGCACGTGCACATACTGCTGCATGCCAGCTGCCTGATGGACCACGACTGACGAGCTAAAAGCGCAAGGTAAGTACCGTTCTGCTCACCTGCTCACCTGCTCACCGTTCTGCCAATGTACAATACGCATGTAGCTAACAGGTAGATCTGTCTTGCTTCACTAAAGGAAAGCTGTGCGCTGACGGCACGTTTTGCAGCCCGGGCAAATCCCAAGTTGGGTCGCTCCCGTTCGCCAAAAATGTTCAACGTTTCCACTAGTATATAAGATCTTCACGGGAGATGGGTCCCGACACGACAGTTGCATACACACCAGGTGGGAGTATGGCCAATCGTTGCGTCTGCACATGCGCATTCAAGCTCTGCGCAGCATATGCCTGCGCGCGCTTCCCTTGCCCACGGCCACAGTCACGCGAGCTCATATTCCGTGAGTAAATCCTACGGAGAGGGTGTCGATGGCTCATCTAGGCATCCTTGGCGCGATATTTTTCCTCCCTGCACTGAACGCCTTCGGCATCCATCAGCATTCACAGGCCGAAGATGCTCTCTTGGACGAGTGGATCCGGGAACAAATGCAGGACAGACAAGAAGTGAGTTAGCTACAGCCTGTTTTGTTAACGAAACACCGCGTTTGAAGTGCCGATAGATAAAGCGTATGTTACGTGGTTAGTGATTGAGGGTGGAAGCGACTGCTTACTATTTACAGTGCTGTAGTAGCTATATATAAAAGCGTGTGATGCACTTTCCAAAACGTATTATATATAGCTAGGTATCATAAGTAAACATGAGGAATTTAGTGTGTAACAAGATACACATACCTCTAGTAATATATAGTGAATGTCAGTAATGCAGGAAAGGGGGAGTCTTGTCAATCCTGTTTGGACAACACTGAGGTGTGTGATATTTGAGAAGTAGGAAACAGGGGTTCAGGGACATAACATGCCAGAATTATTATAACTTCCAACATTCTCGTAGGGTGCCAGCAACACCATTGAATTAATGTGCACATTTTCCTGCTCTTATAGAAATGCACGGGACCCAAACTCCATTTTGTAAGGAAAGGCCCGGGGAAGGTATTAGTTTCTTGTTCTTTTGAATTGTAGCATTCAATAAGGCATTAAGTTTATAATGTAGTCAGGAACGGGGAAGTGCATGCCATGGCTGAGTGTGTGTTGACAAGGCCGAGCTGCCAGCTTCCCCTTACAGAGAATAGCTCGTCCCCCTTATCTAGTATAACAGCTAGCTATAATATACCTACTTTACCACTGGGATGCCGGATCCAAGGATCCCATTAGCTATATCGATCCCATGACTAGCCTCATATACCAATCAATCTTACAGTCTCCTAATTTTCGAGTGAAGATGTACTAACTACATATCTAAAACCCCTACTAGGAAGAGGATGGCTGTTTATGTCACTGCTCCTCCCAATGGCAAAACCCTTTCCTACTACGCTGCTGGAACTTTTACAACTCAAGCAATGCCTATAACGTTACATCTGTAGTGGCATAGGTTGGTATTAGTTTCAACCGCATGTAGCTAAAATTTATAAACTGACCCACAGCCTTCCATCACTTACAATCCTTTATTGTGTGCACTGCAATGATTATATATCCATCTTTGCCTTGCTTTTCTACCTCGTTGTTGACACACACGTGGAGGGGCGTAGGTATTGGTGTCATGTATTCCCCTGGGTATGTGTTCTTTAGCATCATTTTTTGAATTCTATCAGGATGTCATTCTGTCGCCCTCTCCATCAACTTCAGTACGAGCAGCAAGATAGGTTTTTTTTTATAACACAACTTAGAAGCGCGACAATGTTCAATGTGTGGATAGCTATGAGCTTAATGGAGCCGGGACTGCGTGGTGAACTTATCCGCCTGCACTTTTCATGTATTAATCAATGGACGTGTAGTTTCACATGTAATGGAGCCACGGCAACTTGTAATAATTTCAATGGGTATTGATGAAGTGCATGTACATTGCTGCAGTATGCCTACAACATGGAGGATGGTGACGACATGGCCTACGCTACTCCAGGCCACGCTGAAGACCACGATTTCATGACAGCTTTTTTCTCAAACCAAGACCATAATGCAGTAAGGATGATGTTACGTATGATAGCACTGCTGAGTGACATTAGTAAAATGAATGCTTCAGATGCTTTCTCAAAATATTAACGGTAACCAGTGAACAAGGCAATTGGTGAGACATAGGGGATGGGCAAGCACCAAAAAAGGAGAGAAGAAAATAAAGAATGGTTTCATAGTGAAGCCACACAGACTGCTGATGTGTAGGAAATGCACAAGGTTATGGGTAATCTTTCCTGCTGTTTTGTGTCTGCTCTGGCTGTGTACAACCGTAGTGGAGTGCATTCTTCAAGTTGTTACCCTGTTACTATTTGTAGTTCAGTGATGACAATGCTGGAACAGATGGTGAAACTTACATGGAGGAACACTTCAACGACTTTCTTCAACAAGCACAAAAGAATGAAGTGAGCTAGTATTTTCCTGTTCTTTTGTGATAATTAGCTCTAACTATCTTTCAGTTTTCTGAAGAGGATGGCCCAAAATTCACCGAAGAGGATGAGACTGAGGGGAAAGTTTTGAACGGTGACCAGCCAGTGTTTCAGTTTTTTGGCAGTGAGGACGGAGACCTCATCACAGTATGCATTATATCATCCATCCACCTGTTATACAGTGGAACCTCTGAACAAGGGACACTATGGGGCCAACTATATTATCCCTTGTAGAGAGTAACCCCTATCGCAGAGGTCAAATAATTTACGTACTAGCATGGGGTTGAAACAAGTGTCCTTTGTAGAGAGGTCGCCCCTATCTCGGATGGCCCCTTATCACAGGTTCCACTGCATTTTTTTGCTTCTTTGATCAAACTCTTCTTGACTTGAAGGTTTTCCTCATTTCTGTTGCAGGAAAATTTCAATGAGTTCCCTGAAGACGACCTGTTTGCAGATATGCAGGACAGTGGGGACCCAGAGTGCGAGGAATGGAAGAAGAAGATGAACGAGTCCCAGGCCAAGTTGAAACAGGAAGGGAGGGTGCTTCAGGCTGTGGTCAATGACACTGAGAAAGAGGTGGAAGTCTACGAAGCCGACCAAGCAATAGACTGCTCAATGAATTGCTCTCTTGGTTAGAATGTAAAATGGTGAAACCACCAAAGTGAAAGAGGGATACCTAAAGGATACTTGGTTATAGTTCAATCTAGTAATAAAATTATTACCTTCGAGAAAAGGACACCTCTGAATACATTTTTGAGTCCCTTATAGCAGTTGGATATAATATTGTAATATTACAGCATGAGTGCTGCCACAAATAGCTTACAGTTATAGCACACAAAATGTACAGCATGTATTATATAGCTACATTGGAACCTCTATACAAGTGACACTTTGCGGACAACAATTTTGTCCCTTGTAGAGAGATCGTCCCTATCTTTGAGGTCAAATAATATACAGTGATAATTATTAGTATGGGGTTCAAGCAAGCGTCCGTTGTATATAAAGAGGTCGTCCCTACCTTCGAGGGTCCCTTATCAGAGGTTCCACTGTAGCTACTCTTGTGCCCGAGTGCTAGCTAGTTTTATTGATAAAGGGTGGTATAGCTAGGCTAACTTTCCTCGCTACTCGAATTCTATTACCATTGAACTGTGTTTTGTTAAGATTCAGGCTACTACCATTTGAAGTGTGTTTTGTTAAGATTCAGGGACAGAATTACTTCTTTGCAGTGTGCATTCCAAGTGACGCTGGCGAAACATGCGTGGAAACGAAGAATGGAACATGTGTAGCCAGGGAGCCCAAGATTGAAGACTGTGCAAGGTATATTATAGCTATAGCTGCCACTTGCTTCAACATCAAACGAAATTTTCTGATAGGAAAATGCCAGACCCAGATTGTCAAGCAAAGGAGGCTGAGTGTAAGGGAAAGAAGAGACCTGAGGCTGATAAAATGTCTGACCAGGAGAAAAAGCAAGATAAAAGCCAATCAGAGTTTAAAAAATTTGAAAACCAAATGCTGGATGTTACAAAAGGCATACCTGAAAAATGCAAAACTCTGCGTTTTTAATGAACGGGTATGTCAAGTTGAAGTGTATGAACACAACTAACATTGTAGAATATTATTAGAAGGTAGAATGAGTGGAAGTAGAGTGACTTTTAGTAATTTGCAACGTAAAAACTGCAGTTTTTTTGGACTTGACATGCTAAGCGCGATTTTTAGTAGCACACTCATAGGACACGCAATATGAAGCTGACATGCATGCCGGTGCAGAGTGTGCTTGAATAAGTTCAATTCACGTGATCTTCGTACAAAACTCGTCCAAAGAGCACCTGCCTCAGCCTCCAAAACTCACCAGCAATAACTCAGGGGCTCAAAAGCTCCTCTTCGGGTCCCGCACGCGCATTCACTCATAAGTAGCATGAACTGGGAATAGGTTGTAGGAATCAATATTGCCCTTTGAACTAACCATGCATACTAGAAAGCCGAGGGAGGGCCCCAGATGCCAAAGGGCCCGGGAAAGGGGCTAGCGAAGGCGCTATCCCGTGCGCGTAGCTAGAACATTCTCTGCAGAATTGTCGCATTCTTCACCTGGACATAGCCATTCTGACAGCTACTCTGCAGCTGTCTCTATATAGCTGCCACCCTGCGCAACAACACGGCTTGGCACACGATGAATGTGATTCGAACACCGTGCGTTGGTGCATTGGTGAATCTACCATTGGTGAACGGGTGTGATCGGTGACTCCAGTGCATCGGTAAATCCGTGCATTGGTGCATCGTGCATTTGTGCATGCATTTGTGCATCTATCATCGGTGCATCTAGTTTCAGTGTTTCAGTGTATCTAGTATCGGTGAATCCACGCATCTAGCATCGGTGAATCCTTGCATCCTGAATCATGCATCTAACATGACAATATGAGTATAGGATTGAATGAGGCCATCTACCATTGGTAATTTCGTGCATCTGTGCATCGGTGAATCAGTGCTTCGTGCATAATTGGAACTGAATATCTGTTGATCGGTAATAAATCCGTGCATATTGCCAGGATTCTTGCACCATAACACCGTAATGTGCACACACGTGATCATTTCCAACTGATCGCGCCTCATACATAGTGGTGGCTGGGGTGCGGATGTGCTCACGTGCCCCTTCCTCATTGCGTTCCAGAGCTAGAGAAGGGTGACACGCAATGTATATTGTAGCCCATGCACACAAATCAAGCTTACATACTTTATACTAGCCTCGTCCATTTGTGAAGTCTGTGCAAGACTAGATTGGCTTCTGTGTTTACCAATATGTAGTTCTTGGTCATATAAAAAATATTCGCTCTTATCCGAGCTTTACCGTGGGAATGACGTTGCCGTAAAGTTACGATTCGGGCACAGCAAAGATCGGACAAGCGCATCAATGGTAGGACAGTCTCCCAAAACGGGAACAGTATGAATGATCCAAGCGAGTGTATGCTCGATTGATAGCTGTACCTTTTGGCTATGCAGCGACCAACAAATGGCCCTTTTTTGTCCTCGCTCTTTTTGCTCACGAAAGCGCAAATAGGCGGGGTCGCGTAAGCCGCGTTTTACGCGAAAAGCAGTTCGCGGCTTGTTTTTTCTTACGCACGTGCCGGACGAAGCTCTAAATTTCTATTCTCGTTCTTCTTGCCTTATACTAGATGCTTGCACCACGATTTCCGTTTTTGTGAGATCTAGGTAACTACAAAAAATAACTATTGGTAATTACAAAAAATTAAAATGAAATCGTGGTGCAGGCATCTAATATAAGGCAAGAAGCACGAGGAGAAAATTTTATAGCTTCATCCGGCGGGTGTGTTAGAATAAACAAGCCGAAAACTGCTTTTCGCTTAAAACGCGGCTTACGCGACCCCGCCTATTTGCGCTTTCGTGAGCAAAAAGAGCGAAGACAAAAAAGGGCTATTTGTGGGTCGCTGCATAGCCAAAAGGTACAGCTAACAATCGAGCATACACTCGCTTGGATCATTCATACTGTTCCCGTTTTGGGAGACTGTCCTACCATTGATGCGCTTGTCCGATCTTTGCTGTGCCCGAATCGTAACTTTACGGCAACGTCATTCCCACGGTAAAGCTCGGAGTGGTGTATGCTCGGCCGTCTACGCAGGCAGTTTTGAGCTGCAAGTCATGCCCGTGTGCTGCCGCTGTAATGGCAGCGGGCGCTGCAGGAACTGTTCGTGTTCGAAGGCCGGCAAGCTGTGTGTCGACTGCCTACCGCAACGTAAGGGAAGATGCTGCAACGAGTGTCATACTTCCAGTCAAACGCCTACACAACCCAGCAGTTCAACTACCCCACAGGCTTCCAATATTCCGAGTTTAGGCTCAGCGTGCGTCGGAATTCAAGATACCCAACCGCCAACCCAGCCTTCTCCTGACAGCGAGATGGCACATGAAACGTCCGATCAACGGTCTATGGCTGACAACAGCGGAATGTCGTCTTTGACTGACAACAATGGAATGTTAGGTGCCGGACCTGATTTTCTTCCAGAACAACGAGATCAGCAAATACTTCCAGAGATAATCCCAAGTGACCAGACTACTCCAACTCCTGAAACGGTATCTCAACATCCACTCAGCCAACCGTCTAATCATGGGCTGTCAGCCACCCCTGATTGGCCTTCACCAGCCCTACACCCTCCGGATTTTCGTTGGGGCTCTTACGAAGGAAATGCATACTATGATGCCGTAACAACTGCCTACAACGAAGTCATCCATTGGAGACGTAATGTTTTCCTGGTGCCATCAGGTACGACTGGAAAGGCTTTTGTTTCTGAGCTAGCTCGCCTTATGCAATCCTATGCAGACGGCTCCAGCCTCGAGAGTATCGCCATGAAGGCAGGCACTATTGCCCAAATCTTGCTCCTACAGAAACCGAACCGAAAAAGCAAAAGCAAGGAGCATGTCACCCACCTACAAAGAAGACTCAACCTGTGGCACAAGGGAGATATCCAATCCCTCTTAGAAGAAGGGCGATGTATTCAGAAACATCTCCATACATCACCGAGACCATCAGATGACCAGGTACTAGCTCGGACCTTTTGCCGATTGATGATGCAAGGGAAGGTACAAAAAGCCTTGAGACACCTCTCTAGAAAGACTTCTGGGGGTGTGCTGAGCCTGGAAGACCTGGTACCAGAAGCGAATGGGAATGGGAATGGAAACCAAACACACATGCGCACTACTCACGATGTTCTACTTGACAAGCACCCCCCCCCGGGAGCCTCTCCAGTGGGAAGCTCCCTTCTACGTGATGCACCCGAGCCAGTCAACCCAATCGTCTTTGACAACTTGAACGCAGATGCCATCCATCAAGCAGCGATGCATACCAACGGTGCAGCTGGTCTCTCAGGACTAGACGCATATGCCTGGAGACGTCTGTGTTCTTCCTTTGGATCAGCCTCCCGCAACCTATGCTCCGCCTTGGCCGCAGTGGGTCGCCGCATATGCACTACCCTTGTCCACCCAGAGGGGTTGAGCGCATTCGTGGCATGCCGACTGATCCCACTCGACAAATGTCCAGGCGTGAGACCCATCGGAGTTGGAGAGGTCCCGAGACGAATTCTAGCAAAGGCTGTGCTACGGATTGTGGGTCGAGATGTTGAAGAGGCAGCCGGTCCTCTCCAGGTATGTGCTGGTCAAGACGGTGGATGTGAGGCAGCAGTACATGCCATGCGACGTATCTTCCACCACCCTGACACTGAAGGAGTCTTGCTGGTGGATGCCACAAATGCCTTTAACACGATCAACAGGCAAGCTGCCCTCCAAAACATCAGCATCATCTGCCCATCAATAGCACAGATCCTAATCATACCTACAGAACACCGGTCAGGATGGTAATTGTCGGAAGCGGAGAAATCGCCTCAACGGAGGGCACTACACAGGGAGATCCATTGGCGATGGCCATGTATGCCCTGGCAGTAACCCCTCTAATCCACCAGTTTAGAACAAATTCACCGGATGTACAGCAAGCCTGGTTCGCGGATGACGCAACGAGTGCAGCCTCCTGCAACAAACTGAAGACTTGGTGGGACGACCTACAGTGCTCGGTCCAACATTGGATACTACCCAAACGGTTCAAAAACCCACTTGGTAGTGAAGCCTGAACATGAAGAAACGGCCAGACAGTTATTCACTGACACCGATGTGAATATCTCCATTGAAGGGAAACGTCATCTGGGTGCAGCTCTCGGGTCCAGGACCTTCACAGAGGAATATGTGACCAACAAAGTGCAGGGCTGGACACAGGAGATCACACGTTTGGCCGAATAGCTACCACCCAACCACATGCAGCCTACGCAGCTTTCACCCATGGCCTCTCTAGCCGCTGGTCCTACATCTCCAGAACGATCCCTGACATTCATGATCTACTACTCCCCCTGGAGACTGCTATCCACCAATGTCTTATCCCAGCCATCACTGGCCGAGCACCCTGCTCCAGACAGGAACGAGACCTCCTCGCCCTCCCAGTCAGGCTTGGTGGCTTGGGGCTAACAAATCCAGCAACGAACTCCTCCCATGCTTTCCAGGCCTCTGAGCGCCTGACAGCACCTCTTGCAGCTTTGATAGTAGCACAGAGCCCTGAACAAGCCGTTGACCAGACGGAGGTAACTGCCATCAAGAAAGACATCCGGAAGACAAACCGACAGAGACAGGAGGACAAAGCCAAAGAAATCCGCAACCATCTCAACCCTAATTTGAGACGTTCTATCGACCTTGCAATGGAGAAAGGCTCCTCCGCATGGCTCTCAGTCCTCCCACTGGAAGACCACGACTTCTACCTCCACAAAGGCGAATTCAGAGATGCCCTGTTTGAGATATGGGTGGAGCCTCAGTAACACCCCTCACACCTGCAACTGTGGAACCGTGTTCTCGGTGGACCATGCAATGATCTGCCACATGGGAGGATTTCCCACGATACGACATAACGAAATACGTGACATCACAGCATCACTCCTTACAGAAGTCTGTCATAACGTGGCCACGGAACCACTCATGCAGCCTCTAACTGGGGAAACACTCGCTCTACGCTCTGCAAACTCTGAAGATGGGGCCCGCCTAGACATTCGTGCAAGGGGTTTTTGGAACAGATCACAGGATGCATTTTTCGACGTTCGGGTTTTCTACCCAAACGCACCCAGTAATCGTTCCACGAACATCTCGTCTGCCTACAGGAAACACGAACTCTTGAAGAAAAGGGAGTATGGTCAACGTGTCCGAGATGTAGAGCGTGGTGTTTTCACACCTATCGTCTTCACCACCACAGGAGGTATGGGACGTGAAGCGGCAACTTTCTATAAACGACTCGCAGACATGATTGCCGGGAAACAGCAGAAACCATATTCATTTTTTATACAACAATATGACCAAGAATTACAGTTTGGTATAGCTAGCTACACAATAGCCAATCTAGTCCTGCACAGACTTCACAAATGCGTCCGAGAATACATGGCGTCCGATTATCGATGGCTTACTCTATTATGACATCACATCAGCACATCGCGTGACGGCCCTTATTCATTCACACAAAATGGCTGCGATGCTGAAGATTCCCATCCGTGTCCTCCAGGCTTTCCCGCGATCTCTTCCCGCGAGTTTCTGCCGCAGTTGTAGTAGTGTAACTGCTGGTTACACCCCGGGAGGGGAGAATGACCCTGACGCATACAGAAGAGCCATGTCGGCAAAGATTGACAACTTGAAGAAACGGTTGGAGGATCCCACGAGGTTCAAGAACATCAACGATAGAGATGAGAGCAGCATCGTTCCAGCAGCCGTCACGGAGGCCATGGTAACCGGAAAGTATCTTAGTGTCTATCGCGGAATCGATATGCTGAAAGGCCCCGAGGATATGGCCATCCTTTATCAAATGCTGTGGAATGTGAAGCCACGTACAGTTATAGAGCTGGGATCATTCACTGGAGCATCTGCTCTCTGGATTGCTGACTCCTTGAATGGAGCCAACATAGAGTGCAGTGTGTTTTCCGCGGACATTGATCTCTCTCTTCTTCACTCCGACATCAGCTCCTTCAAACCTCCTAACTTGTCCTTTATTGAGGGTGATTGCAATGACATTGAAAATGTTTTTCCATCCGAGTTCCTCAAGGCTCAACCTCATCCGTTTGTTGTGATTGATGATGCTCACGCAAACTTCGACAAAGTCATGGACTATTTTCACTCCCACCTAATTCCTGGAGACTACATGATTTGTGAAGACACATGTCCTAATATTCTAGCCTCTGCATTGGGCTCTAGTGAAGATAAAGAGCTTCTGGGGTTTGAAAAGCTTCATAGTTGGAAGAAGTTCCTCAACAGGCACCACGACATGTACGCTGTGGACTCTTTCTATTCCGATTACTTTGGTTACAATGCCTCGAGTAACTGGAATGGCTATGTCAGACGAATGAAGTGAATTTAGTGTAGCTATAGAAAATGGACAAACACTGTCACTGTTTATGCATGCTTAGCCTACGTGATACAAATTATTTACCAAACACACTTGCATTTTACTGCATTTGCCTGACTGCGAGCTCACCGCAATGTTGTTCTCCCTCAGGAAAGCACAATCACCTATTATTATAAACCAGTGGCAGCAGGATAATAGAAGAGATTACCTATATTGAGTCTATAGGAGCTGTTGTGTGCCAACAAGACATAATGACTTTAACGTAAATGAAAAGCACGGAACCCTTGGCGCATTATGACGCGCACGCGTGCCCCGTAGGCACTAATTGATGGGCTGGGTTTAGTTTTAGTTGTTACTCGTGGTCTCTTGCCAGCTCGCGCAGAGTCTGACGCGGGCTAACTACACTACTAGATAGCATGCGAGAGGCGATACACGCCCTGTGTTGCATCTTCTGGTGCCTCCAAGGTATCAGACCGTGGTAAGCCATCCCTATTTTGCATATTGGCTTTTTCGCGCTCTAGCTTTGCAACGGAGCATCTGACCTGTTAAGTAGGTCATATCCTTTGTGAGACGAACAAACACCGAGATGTAGAGTGACAGACAGACACACACACAGACCCAATGAAAAGCACTGAAGTGCAAACCCTCGGCGCATTGTGACGCGCGCGCGTGAGTAAACGCATGCGCTGTATCACTAATCGATGGGCTGGGTAGTCGTGGTCTCTTGCCAGCTCGCGCCTGACGCGGGCTAACTACACTACTAGATAGCATGCGGGAGGCGATACACGCCCTGCGTTGCATCTTCTGGTGCCTCCGAGGTATATACGCAGAGCACGCGGATCGATCAGACCGCGGTAAGCCATCCCGTCCGTTGCCTATTTGCAATTGGCTTTTTCGCGCTCTAGCTCTGCAACGGAGCATTTTCAGAGAAAACCCCACATATTTTCTGACCTTCGTCGCCCGTTGGGTAGATGGTATCGTTTCTGGGACGAACAGACATTCGAGAGGTGAGATGTAGAGTAACAGACACACACACACACACAACTACAGTACCCTCGCTGCGCATGCGCGCCGAGGGTAATGTGAAGTCGGCGAACTTCGCATGCGCGGTACCGCTAATTGATGGGCTGGGGCTGGGCTATTTAGTATGCGTTTACTCGTGGTCTCTCCCGCTAGTAGCTCGCGGAGAATCTTACACGGGCTAGCTACAGCAGTAGATAGAATGCGGGAGTCGATACACGCCCTTCGTTGTGTCTTCTTGTGCCTTCAAGATACACAGAGAGCAAGCGAACCTGGTTCAAGTTCAAAAAGTTCATGAGCTCCAGAGGAGATATATAGACATACAGGGGAACATGACGAAAAGGAAAAAAGAATAATAAATATAATACACACACGCATTTAGGGGGGAGGTATGGATGAAGGCAGCAATTTTCTCCCAATACAAATGATAGACGGGGAGGCAGATACAAGGATATCAGTTATTTCCTCCACAGATCCCAAATGCAGTTCTTGGTGGGTCTGTACCAGATGTTCCAGGTAAGTTCGATCTTGTTCGATTGATAGATTACAGTGTGGACAGAGTCTGTTGCCGAATAATGGCAGAGAGAGAGCTTTGAAAAAGGACAAAGCGGCCTTTGTCCCTCTTGCCCCATGATCTAGAGCCATGTCCCATATCTTGAGCCATGACAGCTCGGGAACAGCGGCGATGTGTTTAAGGGACTGATGGCTGCGAAAATCCCTTAGTCGGAACTCTTTGTCGGCGGTGAGGACTCTCTTCTGCAAATCCCTTTGGGAGACTGTTGAGGTAAGAACTTCTCCTGTGAAGTTGGTGCGATACACCCCTTCCAGGTATCGACATTGCTCGACAATTGTCAGTTTTGAGACATCTCTCCCTGCAAAAATCTTGAATGTCAGTGAGCTTAGCTTATCTTCATCTGCCGTGACAACCCTCTTCAGATAGTTCAACTTTCTGATGAGCACTCTAGCTCTCATACTAGGCCAATCAAGTCCAATTAATACACTTGTGTTTGAGTGAAAACGGGACAGTCTAAGAATCCTCTTGCCAAGGGCACACTGAAAGTACTCCAACTTTTCAAGGGAAGTGTCAGTCAAATACCAGCTCTCTGAACCAAACAGTAGCACAGGCATCACACATGTGTCCACAACGGATCGAGATGAAAGAGGGTTCAGTTCACCTTGAAATACTCCTAAGCAACCAAATGAGAAGAATGCCTTTTGGGCCTTGGAGATGTTTTCCGTGTGATGGATTTCATTGGATTCAAGTCCGAGGTCCACCAAGTACCCAGATATTTAGAGGCAGTGGTTGGCTTCAAGGTCGCAGAACACACTTCAAGTTGGACATTCGGGACACTTCCATGGGAGTGTATAACTAGCTCACACTTTTGTGTATTCATCTGCAGGAAGTTCTCTGCCGGAAAATCGTTGATGATAGTTGCTTGGGTGTTGCTGGACTGAGGGTCACATATGTCAGACTTCGAATGTCATCGGCATGACCCAGGGAGCCCAAGAACACACCTTCCAGAGCTACTCCGGCGTTTGCTCCTTTCAGCTTTTGCAACAGACTGTCAATGAGCACTAGGAACAGGGTAGGGGAGAGAACTGAACCCTGCCTCACTCCACGCTCAATTAGAAAACCTGGCGATAGGCAGCCGTTTACCTTCACGTGACCCTTTGGTCGATCATAAAAACTCTGAATTATTCTCCAGCACCAGCACTTTGCTGAATAGAGGGAAAACCTTTGGTTTCGAGCTCAGGCAACATTCGAGCCAAGGTGAGAGATTCGAATAGTTTGCTGAGGACATTGGATACCCCGATCCCTCTATAACTATTAGGGTCAAGAGGATTCTTTCCTTTCCCTTAGTATATAGGGGTAATATTAGCTTCCTTGAAAGATTATGGAACACACTCCAGAAGAAGAATAGCATTGAAAATCTGTGTAATCCAAGTTCTCAGAAGACTGCCACCAAACTTTAGGTGTTCGCTGGAGACTCCATCTGGTCCAGCAGCTTTACGGTTGGGTAGTTTTGAGATAGCCTTTGAAACCTCTTCAACATCAAATTCTATATCGAACACATAATCCCCATGGGAACGAGAAGCAGTGATTAGTGACATTATTTCCCTCTGCAAGGCCTGGACCTCACAGGTGCCGGTAGAGATGAGAAGTGATTTTCCAACGCATGTACTAGCTCTTCTCTATCAGTGATTGTATGGTCGTCGATCTGAAGTTTCATGCATAATGAAGAGGACTTGTGTCTTGAAAAACGCTTAGGATGACGGTTTTTTAACTGCATGTCTCGTTGCTGAATTGTCTTTCTCTCTTTGATTGCCTCCAAGGTGTTTATTCGTTGGTGGACTGCTCTCTTAAGAGAGTTTTTCTTACTATATAAGTCTCCAGTTGTGGGACGGCCCGCATCCACCCATTCTGACCACATCTGCTTACTATCTTCACACAACCTCTGCAACTCAGAATCACGAAATCGTTTCTTTGAGGTATTCTTCTTATGTAGAGGTAGCAGCTGTGTGGTAAAATTACAGACGCCTGTCATGACAAAATTTACCTCCTGCTCTACCTGAGCAGTATACTGTCGTATGTTTTCCCAATCAGAGGTCTGATCATCCCGTCAATTGCTCTCTGATATTCCCCCATCCCAGGCTGATCTGTAGCAGCTTTGCCCCAATTCACTCCTGGAATTTCTGCTATATCCTTCCATGACTGGGTGGGATTAACCGCCATGACTGCACAGACTGCTAGGTGGTCAGATGTATTGAGTGGATGATCGTCCAGCACCTCGGAGGTAGTCATGAGGTAGGAGGCGCACTGATTTACGATTATGTGTGTGACCACTACAATATGTGTAACCAGGGCTCTTGTCGAGGGGAGCCACAAAAAGGTTATTTCGTTCAACAAGATCCCTAAGTGCCAGGCCTTGTGAGTTAGACACAGGGTTGCACCCCACCTCTGCTATGTGTGCATTGAAATCGCCCACAATCATGATAGGCTGTGATTGGGGAAGCCCAGACAGGAGCTCTTCCAGGTCAGTCAAGCAAGTCTGATACTCCTGAGTGTATCCATGACTGGGCAAGTACACACCAACAATGGTCAGGTAGGTGTCTTCAGTGAGTTGAACCTTGGAGCAACAAAGCCTGCCCTTTCCCGGATAGGGAATCCTCACTACAGGGAGTTCCTTACTCCACAATATTGCAACACCACCGCAACCCCTGGTCAGCTCAGAGTCCACATCCAGTCTTGGGTCTGACACAGCATGATAGTTAATCTTATCCGAGACCGACTGCAGCTTTGACAGCTCGAAGAGCCACAACCAATGCTCTTGAAGGACAACAACACCGCAACCAATGTTAAGGAGATGGGTAAGGTAGGGTACACTGTTGGTGAACCCTCTGCAATTCCAGCTGACAATATTTAGCTGATTTGCACTAGTGGTTGGCCTGTTTTTAACAAGGTTTACGGCAGAGCGCAAAGTTCCTGTGTTTGCCATTCTAGGGTACCACAAGCGCACACGATGGGGGCCGGTGGCATTTGAAGTCAGGGTGCGCAAGTGTCTTTTAAGATCATGCAGGATTATGCATCTTGCAATATAATAGCGTACATTTATGCAGCATGCACATGAAAAACAATTGAATAAAGAGTGATGCAAATGCTTGTATCGACTATCTGAAAAGTAATCAGTACATTTTTGTGTCATTTTGCGCCTGATCTCCTTGTTCATTGTTGTCACACCCCATTTCTCTTGTAGAATACCTGAGCAAAAAGCACAAAGGCCGAATTGTATTAGCTATTGTTCCAATGTCTTTTAACTTACTATCAATGTATCTCATTTTCTCTGGATCAAGTCGCTTGATTGTCTTTTGTCGTGCTGCGTCCTTAGAACGTGTAACACCAGAAGGATTCCCATTCACCATTTGTTCAGTAGAGAACAAACAGTCCATCAATTTCAGAGCTGCACCACCAGCATCCGACTGCAGCTTGGCATTCTGAAGACGTACTTGATCCACCCCTTTCAGAAAGTGCTGGACAACAAACATTGTATGCACAGCAGTGTACAAGCATGAGTGCGTGCAAGAGATTGTTTGCAGGTATATGAATTAAAGGCACAATGACAGCTCACTGGAATATCTTGTTCTCTTGGTGCAGGAGTTGGAGACGAATAAATCGGACTCTTACGAAAAGGACCTCGAGGTGGCAGAAATGAAAATGCAGGACCATCTGGGGTGGCTTCTGATGCTGAAGAAATATTGGGTGAAGTTAGCTGTCTTGGGTGATTTAGTTCAGCTGCTTGTTCCGAAACTTTTCTTTTTAAACTCACGTGTGACCTCTGCTGTACAAACACAAGTTACTGAAGAAACAGCAGTGTAATCCTCACCTCTAACATGCGGACCTTTTCCTTCGATTTTGCCATTTCCGAGGTGATAGGGTTGTGGAATATTCCTGGTCCCTGTAAGCGTCACTTTCCATGCAATTATTGTTCAAGTAATATTAGTGACTCACCAGTCCACTAGACTTTACTCACTTGTTTCTTTGCAGGTGGATGTTGTTCCTCCTAATAGCAGTTAGTACCAGCAATGTAAATGATTCTAGATTGTGCATCAGTGTATAAACCTTATCCGATTCCTCAGAGCTTGCATCATAGTAGGTTTTCAACCTTTTACGTGGACTCTTTGCCTTCATTGGTAATCAGATAAACATAAGTATACATAGAATGTAAGGTAATTTACTGGCTCTTGATTCCTTTGATGGAGTCAAAGGAGTTCTAGGAGTCTCCATCATCTAATTAATACAGATTCTGGTTAATCAATCAAGCAGGTCCTTTAAAGTACCTCGGAATCTTTATCAATAGCCTCAGAGACGTCCATTCCTACCAGTTTTTTCTTACTACTGTTTTTTTGTGGTGAATCCCTTCCCGTCTCTTTCAGAGTAGTGTCTTTCCTTTTCCTACCGTTAGAGAACTTCCCATCACTATTGCCCCCTGCATTACAGCCTTAAGACTATTGTGTGGTCAGACAACGTATATTATATTACCTCCTTGAATCCTCTTTTCCCCCTGTCTGGCTCCAGTTGTATTCTTAGTCTTCTTTTCGTTCCCACGCCTTTCCTCATTCCCCTTCTCCTTCTCACTTCCTGACTCCTTTTTCTCGGACTCCTCATTCCCCTTCTCTTTCTCACTTCCTGGCCCATTTTTCTCAGACTCCTTATTCCCCTTCTCTTTCTCACTTCCTGACTCATTTTCTCAGACTCTTTATTCCCCTTCTCTTTCTCACTTCCTGACTCATTTTTCTCAGACTCTTTATTCCCCTTCTCTTTCTCACTTCCTGGCTCATTTTTCTCAGACTCCTTATTCCCCTTCTCTTTCTCACTTCCTGGCTCATTTTTCTCAGACTCCTTATTCCCCTTCTCTTTCTCACTTCCTGGCTCATTTTTCTCAGACTCCTTATTCCCCTTCTCTTTCTCACTTCCTGGCTCATTTTTCTCAGACTCCTTATTCCCCCTCTCTTTCTCTTTCCCTGGCTCCGACTTCTTTTCATACCCTGACTCCCTCTTATTCCCTGTCAAAGCATCTCTTTCACCCGATGAGGCATCTACTCCACCCTGTTCACTTCCTATAAGGTGACCAAAAAGCTATATATATATCCCTCCCATTCACTTGTAAGTTGATTTACCAGTTCATTTTCTTCGGCCTCTTCTCTTTCTGTCTCTGCTGCTTCTTTATCTCAGTGTACTTACCTGTGGCAGAAAATTACAATTACTGTCCAAGGACCGATGGAGAAAGGGGGGTGAATTAACAGCATGATGTGCCACACATGGTCTACCAACACAAACATAGGAGCTAACTGAGACGCACACAAGCACAGTAACTCTGCGATTGGTAGCTAGTGACCGTGCATAGGAGAAAGGCTGCAGGTATCTTTACTTGATTTTTAAGAAGTGGGTGAGAGTGGGGTGCTTCAATGGTACATAGCTACACACACTGTACACAAAGCGTACGCTCACTCACCAACAGCCGACTACCCTAGAGCGGGGTACAGAGTGTAGGCAAAAGATGCTTGACATTCATCGCCTGCATGAGTCTAGTACACATCCTTTCTCACTTGTTGCTTAATGGGCCCCGAGCGGTACTCACCCGCCAGCCCACCCACTGCACACCCCACCCGCGTCACACGTAGCTACGACCCCAGCAAAACCCACCCACCCCAGCACTCAGGCCCCACTGACACCACCCTCACACACCACACATACCGCCCTCTCACCAACCCAGCATCAGCAATATCTTCATCGCTCTTCTTCCATCAAGTCAGATTAGAAGTACGATCTGTGGGAGTGCATATCATAGGTAGAGGTGGAGCATCATTGCACACCTACTCGCTAAAATGCACCACAGTCATAACATACCCTAGTTTCCCACACGTTTGTCTTTTAATGTGGAGCACATGAGGGTCTCGAGCACACTAACTGCTTTCTAGTATTATTCCCCTCTCGATTGCCATAACGCAAATACATCGTGCAATCCATACAGCGTAAACCACCAACCACCCTGCCGGCTACTGGGAACCATACATACCAGATAGATCAGTGCGTGCACAGACTTGCACTACCTCAGATCCGCCGTTACAAGGTATATACAGATACTGGACACGTGTTTGAACTGCCATGCGGGAAAATTCCCAAAGCTGCCTATTTACAAGTTGTTTCCTCTGCTGGTCTTCCCGTCTTGATGTACTTCGAGACTGCTAGCCATGTCTACGAGCAGCCCCCGCTGGTCACCCACCCAAAAAACCAAAACCCGGGATCCGGCTACATGACTATCACGAATAATAAAAGGCGCACAACCGCCACTAGACTCTCTCTTCCCAGACAGTCAAAGCCAAATGCACACAACCCTCACCAACTGCAACACTCTACTCCAAGGATCTGCTGCATCCATAGCCTCTAACTCAGCCCGCGTCTCGATCTGTCTCCATGCACACCGACAGGATTTGAGCTCATTCACGTGGCGGCGCGCATGCGCAAGTAAAAGATTCCGTATCGTTCCACTCTAGGGACTTGGTGTACATGAGTCTCGCACGCAGCTAGGGCGGGAGGACGCCGGAAGGACACCTGCGTTGCTATGTCTGAGAGACGGCGGAGCAAGCGAGTCTCAACGTCGACTACGTGGCTGCAAGTCGCTCGCAACGTTTTCAGGCGGGTCTCCTGTGTCTGTCGTCCACGGACTCAGAGCGACTCGAGCCTCCTACTGCTTCACCGACCATGGAGCCGAAGATGGGGACGACGCGGAGGACCAGGGCACCTCAGCGAGAAGTGGAAGCGACGGACGGGGCGACAAGCAGTGTGCCGAGTCGGATGAATCGAGAAAGTTTGTGGTGATGTGCGAAGGCGCGGAAGACGTAGAAGGCAGACTCTCTGGCGACGATAACCCAAGCGAATCTGGGTCTCCAGCTGGACAACACCGCGTGAGTGATGGCGAACTGAGTGAGCGTGTACTGATTTCAGCGAGACGACAAGGATCTCAGCGAGGATGAGGGCGATTTTAGCGAGGAAGAGGGGGGTTCCAGTGAGGGGGATTTCAGCAAGATGATTTGCAGCAGCAATGAAGATATGATTGCAGTTAGAAGCGTTTGCCACTGGTACACACGGTCCACTTTTCCAAGATTCTGCTGTTCAGAGTGACGATTTCAACACAGCATCTTATCACTAGCACAAAAGGCACAATTTACTACCAAGCCAAGGTGATATACTGAGCTTTTGTCATTGTGTTACCATCACCAAGCTACATTCCATCTTCTGCTCATGTGCTCTATAAGAAATATTCTAATTACAAAGAGGACACTGTTGTGCAGCATTTTGTGACAATTGTACATGTCCTCTTGAGCCAGGTTCGTCCTGGCAACAGCAGCAGAAATGTGCTACAGCATCGCGTTGGAGTTTTTGTGCGGATTCCCCTACGCATGCAGCTCAAAGAACGCTTTTGATGGTATGTTTATGCGTTGTTTTGATATCAGCACATAACAAGGCTATATCTGTTTGCAGATCCTGAATTTCCTTTCTTCTGAGGTATCGCTTTCGTCGTGAACAGAAATATGGCATTTTGTCCGATATCTATGATGGACAGGAGTACTGCAAGCATAGCATGTTCTTCGCATCTGAATATAACGTGTCCTTCGCCCTCAACTTCGATGGAGCGCCGAAGTTCAAGTCCTCATGAGTACAAGTTTGGCCAATTCAACTTTACTTGAATGAACTGCCACCTCATGTAAGGTATGTATGTGTCGCTGCAGGCTACTGTATTTTCAGTAGCCATTCATGTATCCACTGATACATGCTCAAATTTAATGTAGACTTCTATATTCAGGGGATCAAGGCAACACATGTTCTTGGCAGGGATATGGTGCTCAGTGAAGAAGCCCCCGACATGTGCGTGTTTGGCCCCAATCTTGGAGGAACTGGAAGATTTAGCTACAAATGGTACAGGATGGCCCTTAATTCTGTGATCCTACATAAGTAACATAATTCTTTACAGGTGTGAAGGTTACTGTGAGAGGGGAAGAAGTTACTTGCAAGGCACGGCTACTTTTTTACACTAGCAGACCTACCTGCAAGGGTCATCTTTGACTAATATGATCCAGTTCAATGGCAAATTTGGTTGTCTAACGTGTAAACATGAGGGAAAGCAGGTATCGCATGGTAACAGCTAAAGAATTGACTGTAATATATATGTATGTTATGCAGGTTTCAATTGGAAGAGGTAGCACTCGAGCATATGGATATCAGCCAGTTACGTTACGGAGCCATTCACAACACACAAAATATGCCATGGAGGCGTGAAGCAACCAGTCAGTAAGGGCATACTTAGATTTGATTATCCTGATTATACCATTTTTTGCAAATATGTTTAGGTTGTATACGGAGTGAAGGGAAAATCTATCCTTCACAACCTGCCTGAATTTGACATCATTAACAATAACCCTGTGGACTACATGCACTGTGTGCTGTTGGGAGTAGTGCGTACATTAATATCATTGTGGTTCGACTCTAAAAACCACAAGGAGCCATGGTAAATTTATTTTTTTCTTTTGGATAATTATGTTTTTGCCACTTTTTAGGTACATTGGACGTAGGATTTCTGAGGCAGAATCAAGACTTCTCGGGGCTTAAACCCCCTGATGTTGTTACAAGGGTACCAAAATCTTGCAGAGGTAGAGGCTGGAAAGGTACAGTACTAGTATATTTTCCCATCCCTAATATTGGATGTACTGGAGCTTTAGTGCATGGTGTATGACCCTTGCCCATTATGTGGCTTCTGTTTGCTGTGCAAATAGTAACTTTCTCTTAATTGATGGTTTTTGCAGCAACAGAATGCAGAACATGCTTACTTTACTATCTACCACTGTTGCATGGAATCCTGCCTGACAAATACCTCGTGCATGCTCTGCTGCTCTCTAAGGCTATGAGACTCCTTCTGGCCGATGAAATTTCTCAAGCGGACATAGAAATAGCTGACAACCTGCTGGGCTTATATTGGAGATTAACAGAGGATTACTATGGTTAGATGCTATTACCAATTGTGTGTGTTAAGCCAACATCCAAATGCTTGCAGGCCTGAAGCACTGCAAGGTCAATGTCCATCTTTTGGGACATTTGTCGCATTATGTGAAACTTTTTGGGCCTCTATGGACTCATTCTGCCTTTGCCTTTGAAGACGCAATTGGAGGTTTGGTCAAAAAGTCTCATGGGACACATGACATAGCCAATCAAGTATGTTCTAACGTTAAGACAATACTTGTCAAAATAAATGAAGAAGAGCTGCCTTAGGTGGCTTTGAACCCACGACACTGTGTTTACTCAGGGAATAGCAAGGTCAGCCTTTTGCTGACAATAATGATATGTGATCTGCAAACAATTAATAGAAGATAAGTCTTATAGCATGCATTCATGGCATTATAGCATGCTGCACTTGTTACTGCCATTTTTAACCCTCGATGCGCATGCGCAGCAACGGTTACTGTGTGTGTCTGTCAGTACAGTGCAGTCTGTCAGTCAGTCCAGTCAGTCCGTTCCATGACATCTCACTTCACGAGCCATCGATTGCTCCACAAACAACACCACGTATTCAGCGTCGGATATAGGTCGAGAATTATGTGGGGTTTTCTCGGAAACTGCTGCGTTCGGGATTTACGGCGTGAAACATGAGAGAAAAAGGCAATATTATAACAAGCTTTCTTCGAGCGGGTCCGCTTGCTCAGTGTATCTTGAAGGCACAAGAAGTCAACTGTATCGACTCCCGCATGCTATCTACTGCTGTAGCAGCCCATGTCAGACTCCCCGCGAGCTACTAGCGGCGAGTAGCTAAACGCGCACTAATATTATAGCCCAGGCCCTCAATTAGCGGTACCGCGCACGCGCAGTTCGCCGAGGGTGTGCTTTTCATTCCTGCAGGTATTGCATGCATGAGTTGCTTTCTACACTAAGACATGTTAGAAATGTTTGCAGATATTCTGCTGTGACTATAATTGCTGACCTCTAGAGTGTGGCTAACTACGGTGAAAAATTCAATGAGGGGCCCTCAAAGATAGTGACAACCTCTCTACAAGGGGCACTTGTTTCAACCCCATGCTAATGACCTGAGAGACAGGGATGGCTTCTCTGCGAGGGACAAAATCGTTGGCCCCATAGTTTCCCTTGTTTGGAAGTTCCACTGTATACCCTCTCTTTTATAACATGCACACATTACCATAGTTCCAGCACCGACTGGAACAAGGGGACATGTTCACACTCAACAACCACAGGATGCTTCACGGACGAAAGAAGATCCAGCTCAATGGGGGAACTAGACACTTCACCGTATGTACGACAATTGTAACCATTTCCGAAACGATGGTGCATGCGCAAGGAGGACCCCGTTGAACAGTTTTCTGCTTTACTAGTTGAATCTCAGTTATCCGGGCAGCTTGGTACAAAGGACCCAGTATATATGCAAGTGTGAAAAAGTCCACGTGAAATTACTACAAGAACACCTAGGGCTTATTTAGATAATTTCAGACAGTGTGGTTGCGTTTATGGCCACCCATCAATGTCCTCAGTGAATGAACATGTAATCCAACTCTACCCATTCAGGCACCTCTGGACTTATAATGCATTACAGTTTGGCGGGGTGGAACTACCTGGTTAACTGAAGTGTATGTATGTACTAGCTTTGAAATCCGGATAATTGAGATTCTACTGCATTTCTTATGCCTGAATAGATAATTTGGAGGCACTGTGATTGATGTGTGCTTCGGTGGGGTTCATGGTTCGTGGCTTCATTGTGATTCCTAGGTACCTAGTCCAGCAACATAAACATGTGGAGTATAGCTACGTATGTAATAAAAATGTCTGCCTCGCATAGCAAGTCTAGTTCAGAAGCACAACTGGCAAATTTCCGCCCAGAAATGTTACAGATAACATCATGGTTGCTCTTTCGAGAGGGAACCTGCATGATGCTAAAGGGCGCTCACTGCCTCTTCCCTGCTGATCTGTCACTGCATTTTTTCAGAATATGTCGCTGAACATTGATGAGTTCAAGAGCACTTTCCACTGGCTGTGCACCAAGTATGACCCAGACTACCAGCCACGAAATGTCCTCAATAATGACTTCTCCTTCTCATCTGCCGTCACCTCCACTGCCTGATAGTGTTGGGAACAGCAGTATATACTCTAGCTGTGAACCAAACATCATACTTTTGTTATTAGGGACTGTAGTACATGTCCCACATTATATGCTATTATTCCTCTTCATTTTTAATTTTTTCTTGGTTGGACAGAATTCCTACAAGCCATGTTCTAAGATAATTAACCTTCAGTGTGCATGCGACCCTGTACAACGCGGCCATTGCGCCAGTGCGACGTAGGCACGGATTAACATTCTTCAGCCACCTATGTTCGATTACATAATAACTGACTCTGTCAAACTGTACATTTTGGCTCTTTCATTCATGAAGTACATAATAATAATATATGTGAAATGGACCTCTACAGTGTCTGATTTCCAAACTCCATGGCATAGTCATCCTCTACAGTGTAACCTATGATAAGGGACTCTCCAAGATAGGGACGACCCCTCTATTATTATGCAAAAGACATTTGTTTCAACCCCATGCATTCTAATACTTTAAGTGTATTATGTGACTTCTGAGATAGGGACAACCTCTCTATATACAAGTGACAAAATTGTTGGTCCCACAGTGTCCCTTGTTTGGAGGTTTCACTGTATATAGCTCTTTGTTGTCCATTAATGCTCCGCGCAGCTACGGATAGGAATCTGGGGTAACCGCGACTGGT